TTTAGTCATTGTGGTTCTCTGGAATCCCGTGGTCAGCCTAGCCAAAGTATGCCCCAGGTCGTCACCACCACAGGCAGTCGCCGCCGTTGTATATCAGAAGGAGATTTACAACCATGCGATTAGTTTGATACCAGGACAGTGGTGGTCTCTGGTATTGGTTTACTTTTAGCTGAGCTTCCTATTGGAAACCCCGGACTCTTTCTTAGCTTGAGAGGCCCTGCTGTGGGGTTGAATCCGTTCATTGTACATCGCAGCCCAACACTCACGAACATCTTCCAGCCTTGATGAGGCCGTAAACCTTTGGGAGGAGTCCGCCATAGTTGAAAATAATTTAAAAATGAACAAGCAAATCCTCCTAGTCAACAAACTGAATCTAGAAGAAGCTTATCATTTTCATTAATTGATATTGGTGTGGTTATTCAGTATGGAAGGACCGAATTTAAACTTCGAAAACTTGAGCATTTTTCCAAGTTAATTTCATTTTTCACTTCATTGCTTACTTCGCTTTCCATTCGTGATTCTTCCATGTATCCATATATTATGTTCTCTACGTAACATTCATGGTTGTGTCATATTTCATTTTTAAACGCAAATTTCGCTCTACATCTTCGTGATGACTTCTTCCTTTTGTGTTTAGCATGCAATTTAGGATACCTGCTATATGTAATCCCAATTTCGTTAAATCCCTGAATGATTCGACCCGACAATGTTTCCATTTGTCTCCATTGCCTGTTGGATAGCTTTTCTTCTTTTCGAACTTCTCTTTTCGTTCTAGGAACTCAAAGAGCACGAATTTCTCTTCTAGGATCTCCTTGAAATAGATCGGTGCTCTTTCTGTTATGTGCTTAACACCCCATGGGACCCATTTGAATACGGCCCTTGGTCGTCATGTAAACGCATCGCGTGTTCGGCCTAACACCCACATCTTAATGTATCTGATCGTTGGTCGTCGACGTATCTCGGGACAACAGATTCTCTTCCTCACATGCATGATATTGAGCGATGTTAGCATCACGCTCTCGATAGCTCATTCAATAACGCCTACCTATATCTCATCCTTCTTACATGCTGTCGAGTGTTCTAAAGCTTACGTCAAGGCGTTAAAAACCATAGAGTCGAAAACATGGCACGCAGCTGATTGTACTTTACCCTTTTCAAACGGATCACTTACTCACTGCTTTGTATCTTCTTGTTTTTTAAAATATGATCTGTCTTTATGTATACTTTGCGGATTACAGCACTTCTCACATTCGATTCGTTTCTTCGTCTCCATTGTTCATGAAGATCTTCAAACTTTTACGTGTGGCTTCTGTTGCTGCTTGAAGATTTTCATTTCATTTTGAATGTCATAGAATGCTGGTCGAGCAATTATCCCTGGAGTCCTGAGATAGTCGAGCTGGAGCGTTCCCAACTGGATTGCTGAGAGTGATTTTTTTCACAAACAAGTCCGGTATCAATTTCGCGACCCCCGAGGAATGAGAACCTTGATTGGTCCGGAAGGGAATCGAGCTAGCAATGTGCTCGTGATGACGAATATAACTACCACTGTGCTATCAGCCCTTCACTACTTTATAACGCATGGCTAAAACTGTTTCCTGTGCGACAACAGACGATGTTCTGTGCAATAACTGAGCACCAAGGGAACACCAAAATACTACATCAAAGAAGAATTATGCTAATGTTCTCCGCTCTCGGAAGTTGGAACTATTCCCTGTGACTCTTACAAGCTGAACCTTTACATCAAAGGAGACATATTGCAAAAACAACAGATTGCACGAAATGCTACAACACAACGTGTGCTACCACATTGTTTCGAGAAAAAAGGTCAATTCTGCTGTACAGCAGAGCGCGCCTCCATGTTTTTCTATTGATTTGAAGTCTAGAATTTGGACAAATTGAACCTTAAAACTATCTTATTTGCTTCATTCACCAAAACTCAAACCATCGAAGTATCACTTCTTCAAGACGAGAAAATGCATTCCAGTCTGAGAACATCACACTCGCAGATCCCAGCGTTCGTGTTTGATTGTATGGATTGTCTGGCATGAGAGCGCATTGGCAAAACTGTATTTATTGTTACCGTTGTATTGGTAAAATTGAGCTTCAAGAAGGATGGTGAACCTAAGTTTAGATTAAATATCGCGTAGCTGTTGCTCATACTAACAACTGTTTTTAACGTCGTTGCTACATTACCTATCAAGGGCGAAATGCTCTGTAAAATTTCTAGTACCAAGTCTTTGTTTCTTTTACGCGTTCAAATGGTTTCGTTGAAGTTTAGTTCTCTTCAGTTCAAATATCTCTTGTTCTACTTCAGTTTTATCGTTGTTTTATTTCTCGTACTTTGTATGAGTTTTTATTTTCTCAGTTAGATGTGGTTTCAAATTGTACCAGTGAAGAAATGACCTGAGTGGACGGTTGGGTAACACCTCCCTTCTCCACTATCGGCTACTGGAACCACTGTTTTGGTTCTCGCTCGCTCCATGACCACAAGGGGCAGCACACTTTTCGTAAGACGCACTGATGTATTTCTGGCTAGAGGTTTACCAAAGTTGACATGTCGGAATCTTTATGAGACTGACAAAAAGCTTAGTGGGATCATCCGGGGACTATGAATCCATCTGCGTTTCAGGAAAAGTACTTGACCACTTTTCTTATAATTGTGGCTCAAGGTCAACAAATATCCCTTAGGGAAGTCTTTCCGGGCGTCATGACTTGTTTGCTTCAGGTTTCCTATACGAATGCTTTACATCCTTCTTACGCAGAAGAATATTTAGCATCTAATGTGCTGTGGTATGGTGATATAAACACGATTCCAAGTTATGTAATCCAATTTTAGCTCATTTACGATGGGCATTCCCTTAGCCTGTCAGCTTTTAACAAACTCATCTCAGCTTGTGCAGCAGTTTATCGGTTAAAGTGAAAACCTTTGGAATCCACATATCTTTTACAGCAATGTGCAAATTTATTTTTACTTTCACGGAAAATTTTGACCTTTTGGAGCCCACAAATTGTTTCTTTGCCGTTTTTCTTTTCACCGGTACTAAAACTTTTGAAAAGCGAATAGGAGCATGATTGGGAAAGGGTCCAATTTAGCAGTGTGTCCTGAAGTGCTACACTTTTCAGCTTAACTGACTCTGTTAAGAAGATGAATTCACAGTTGTGTATTGCTGTTCGACACACAGAAACATACATCAGATTCGACTGAGCGGTAAACGATTGGAGAGGCAAACTTTAATTATGTTCAAAAACGAACAATGAATGAGGCAAACGTTTGACAGTACAGCAATGAAAACATTGCCGTTAAGATATTCGAAAAACTTAGACCTCAGGTCAGATCGGACCACGATTTTCCTTTCCGAGAGCTAAAGGGGAATCGTGGTTCGATTTGGCCCGCAGTCCAAGTTTGCCGAATATCTCAGCATCGTTCTGATTGTAATTTACATCATACGCTGACGTGAAAGATTATGATGGGCAGAAAAAAGGTTGATATTGTCGTAATTTTCATCTGCAATCCACTAATCAACCGCGGACACCCGTCCTACGCTACTATTCACTGTTCTCTTCACAAATGGCTGTTGAAAATAAATACATAATGTCGTGAATCCATAATTCATAACTTAAAATGTTCTCAACGCTTGCATTTCCGCAACGACTTCGGAGCCCATGGAATTGAAGCGCACCTTCCTTTTCATGAAGCCCTCCTTTTTTCTCTCGAGAGCTTTTCCACTAACCCACGATTGGCGTGTCAATTATCTGCTGCGTAGAGTCGATCAGTGGCTTTCGTCCGCAGTACAGTATCATCTGGGGCCCTCGATCACCAGTACGGATTCTTTTTCACTAATCAGCCGTCCCGTTCGTTCTTGCAAAGTCGATGACTTTTTAAAAGGAGTTGGAGTATGTCTGTAAGACAGAGCAGCAACTGTGAGTGTTTTACGTTGCTATCTTTGTAGAACCGAATTTCCCTCATCTGTGCAAGTCTCAAAATAAAACGGTATTCACTTACTGTTTTTTCCTTTTTATCCAATAATCCTTTACTCACATAAATACCACTGGTGGTTTTTTAAAATCAATCTTTATCCTACGATTTGTCATCCATGAAAGTGATCATTATTGTGAAAGGAGGAGTGCCATTTAAGAATGTGACCTCCACGAAAACACCTGCATTTCCAGCTAGCTTCGAGTGTGGGTGGAACACATTGGTCAGTTAAAAAGTGTTAACCCAACATACTCGGAAACCTAATCATCCTACTTTTCTTAAGCCCTACATGAACGCAGAGGTACTTTTCAAAACTAAGCTGCATCATCGAAGAAAATGAAGGTAACTGGAAGTTTGCCCTTCCACCAAAGCGCCCTGTTGTTCACCCAGAAGCTACGCTTTCAGTGTGACAGGCTATCAGTGTGTTGTAGGCAGTTTTACCGAAATGGCGGACCTCTTTGTCCAGTGGAATTTTGGAATATCAACACAAAGTCGACATAAAAGCGATTGAAATGGGTTATTGTTCTGATATAGCAGCGCTAACAACTTGATCATGTACAAATAGAAGAATAGCATTTATTTTAATGGCATTTGGATGATTGGATGTCTTGTTTGTTGTTAACGTAATACATGCAAGGAGCAGTTTATGAATACTCCAAACCTTCCTGTTCTCACTGAACAAACGATGAAGTCTCCTGAATGAATCAAAATTTGTTCAACGCCGTAGCTTGTCTGCAAGGACTCTTTCTGCTACCGGTTGATTTGTCGTTCAAGGCGAAGTGTGCCAGGAGTAGTCACTTGCTCATAGCAGAATGGCCGAAATGTTTTTTTGATGATATTTTGCGCTACCATTTAAACACATGGTTGTAACTCTAATTTCTGCTGAAACGCTCCTATATGATTACTCTTGTGTCCTCACACAAGTAGATAACAACATAAAGCGGAATAATGTAATGTTGTGCTCAATAGTTGTTCTTTCTTGTTGTATGCTATCGCGATTCCTTTAAAAAGTTTCGTTCCAAATCTGTTTTTCTCCGGTTTCTTCTCTCGCATTTCATTTCCTTTGGTTTGTTACTGTACAACGTGTGACTTTGAAGTATCAGATGAGCGTCTGTTTTCGAAATTTTGGCGAGGAACGTTAGAAAAATCACTACGGTGTCAACAGCGGATTTTTTCACGTGGTTTTTCGGTGCCATAGGCGATAAAAATATATATTTCTCTAAGTTTAAAATATTCTTCTGGTACTTCATGTAGTACTTCCCAAGACAGCTTCGGCATTGATTGATAATTCGCTGTTTTGCTTTAATAGGCAGACGCGAGGATGGTATTATAGAATTTATTAGCGTACATATACGTATACAATACAATAGCTGACTTTTCGGCCGTTGCGCCTTCTTCAGAGCCGTTTATTCGTTGTAAGAATTTCAATTAGTTGGTGGCGCGCAGCCACACAAAGTGATACGTAGGTGAGGACTGTCAGTCTATAGTGTACCTGTCGACTATAATACCAACCGCGTGTTTGCTTACTAAAGAGACTGTCAGTCCCCGCCCATGTATTACTCTGTGCGGCTGCCCTTCACCAACTAATTGGAATACTTGCAACTAATAAACGGCTCTGAGGAATGCCCGTCAGCTATTGTATGCCAATAAATTTTGTGATAGCAACCTCGCTTCTGCTTATTAAAGAAAATCGGCGAATTATCAATCAATGCCGAGGTTAGTAGAAAGTCGGTCTTGGGAATTGCTCTATCTCTATACCTTCGACTAATATCTCGTTGGGTGTATTATTTATAATGTTCATATTTTGAGTGGTTTCCATAAGCGTTGAGTCTGTTTCAGGCGGCAGTGGCTGCTTCTTCCGGTCAGGACATCGCGAAAAAACGACCGCCGCAGAGAAAACCTTTGCGACAGTCCAACGTTGTGGAGAGGTGGGCGTATCATTATTGTTCTCCAACACATTCTGGGCGATGTGAATGGATTTCAACACATGCATAACCAAAAATAACTTTAGCTCTCTGGTTTTCAAGAAACATATCTCAGCTATCGGTGAACTTTATCAATTACAAAAACCTGTCGATTGCGCAGATTTTGATCAACATATGTTATTCTACTACGGTGCAATTACTTTTCTGGGGACCAAAACTTACTTGTTATTAGCTTTCTTCGTTTCGTCCACGCTCATATTCATGCAACCAGGCGACCGGACAAGCCGGATTTCTGCCGGCGGCACGCTACGACGTCTCCAAAGGGATGCTGAATGCGTTCAATTCTTGCTTCTGCGTTAAAGTTTTTAACAATCTTTTTTCACACTACATTGCTATTTCTAGGTTTTATTTTGAAAATTAAGATACGAAGAGTGTTTCAGGAAGGAAATCATGCCCGTAGACAAAAAATGTAACGTCCTTGCTTTAAGTTCACTAACTACCTACATCGTTAAGTATTCTGATTGTCGAAAATAGAACGATGGAGCAGGAACTTTTCTACAATCCTGTTTCTTTCACAACATCTAAAGTCCGCTAGTTATTGAAAAACTATTTCTTTACTGTCAAAAATCGGAGAGTCCACATCAGACGAAAAATTGCTTTGTCGCGAATGGGTTTAATAATTCGTTGGCTGAGTTTCAGATCGGAGCGCTCGTTGTTGTGTCTTTCGTTGAATAATCCACTCAGGAAAATATGTATTGCGATAGTGGAGTGGAGGTGCGTGTACTTCTGTTACATTTTTTTTTTTGAATTATAGAATATTTGAATGTAAAACATCTATTTATCAAAGGTCCTACTATACCGTTGTCTTCGAATCCGAGCACTTTCGTAGAAGAAAATTATCATCTCCACAGTGCACTAATGAAAATGCGAGCACCATGGTTCGAGTAAATATGACTGCCGCCTGAAATCGATTGTATCCATATGAAAAAGTATCGATTATCAGTTACAGTAAAGCGTGAAAGCGTATGGGGTTGATTGTTCCCTAAGAGACACGCCGTGTATTCGACTTCGTCAACCATCGTTAGTGATTAAGTACATATCTTGGCCTATAGGATTAAATTCTGGGGCTTTATTACCCATTAAGCCTCCGACTTTAAATTTCTACACCACTCTCAGAAGGGGTTGCCGACAACGGCGAAATGAGAAGCATAGCACGGGGCGCGGGGTTGAACCAACAGACGATCCCGTGTCTATTGCGGAGCAACTCTAATCGCCGCGCTACTCACGTCTCCAAGGGTATTATATAGTCTTTGGATAGCTACAGGACTTACAGTAAGTGTTTTTAAATATCTGAACCATATTTTTCGAGAGTATTTTTTGAATGTGTTTTGGACGATTGTTTCGAGATGCGTTGTGACAAATACCCTTTATATATAATTGGAAATCTTTTCCTTAAAACGTTTCTTGCTGGCTCTCTAAGTGAGGTTGCTGAGTGCAAGGCAGCTAGCGATTAGAGGCGCACTAAATGGACCGATCAGTTCGCGTTCTTCTACACGCCGAGGAGTGTGGTCGGCGCACAAACAAAACACTCTGTCTTTCAGGCCATTTGAGTATCTTATATTAATGATGATATGTGCCAATTGTATAGCATTAGCCGTCTATCAGCCATATCCTGCTCAGGATTCAGACTCAAAAAATACTATATTAGTGAGTTTTTTCATCATTCTCGTAGTTCATTTTATCTCAGAATGCCACTTTTCGCTTTGAAGTATGAAAATGCTTGTATAGTCTAAGCAGTTTTTGTCTTTGTTCCATTACATTGTCCGTTTTAGCTGCATAAGAAAGCGTGGGATGCTATGTGCGCTAAACAAACAAGGAAAAAAACGAAATCTCTTTGTGGGTATATAAGAAGTAAAATTACTGAAACAAATTGCTCTGAACTTAGGACTATTCTGGATAATAAAGGACTGGATTTTCTTCGAAATTTTGTCATGATTTTAAGGAGGGTTTCTGAGATATTACGATCAAGTGGCTGGGAAGAGTTAAGCACCACGGAAGCATGTGATAACTGGCAAACGCTACCGAGGTGTAAACACTTGCGCTGCGTAGTGATCGGAGTAGCCTACTGCACTGCGGGCGAGGACGATGTTAGCAGGTGACGGCGATGGCACCAGTGCGAAGTAGAACTGCTAACGACGTTAAGCTAGGAAATGTCCCATAATTTTGAGTACCTGGACATGAATGTACAACGAAATTGGGAAAAAAATGGGCGTATTTTAAGTATTTTCTTTCTTGTTTGTAAACTTGAAGCGTTTATTTTGACGGCTATTTAAATATTAGGATGGCCTATTTCCACAAGTAATGCCTCACCACTTTTTCCATTCGTTTCGTCCTCGCGCGATTTTCATACGTCGCTCTGCTCCGTTTCGAGTACGGTCGGTTCTGTGGTCTATCGCTCCGTGATCTGCAGATTACTTCATTAATTCCGACTGCTCATGCGTAATTTTTGATCCATAAAGACGTCTGCGTGCCTTTCAGCCGATCATTCTAGACTCCTTTAGAATGCCATACATTGTTCTTCTCTCTCTCTATCGCCAATTCGTCTCTTTACATAACTAATCAATCTATGCTTCCTTTTCCTTGAACATCATGGAGTTCGAATATGAGATAACTTTCGAACGTATAAATTGTGTATTTCGGTTAGTGTTTTGTGTTCTGATTATATTTTGAAGGCCATGGCTCAAGTGCTGTGCAGAAGGTGCAGCACAGAATTTTCGACGTGGTTGAACTGTTGACCGATATCCTGGTAGAGCGCTAGAAACATCGTCGAGTTAAAGAAGCAAACGCAGAGTATTCCTTTTCATTGATAAGCTAACACGACGTCCGTAATAAACTTTATTCAGCTAACGTTTCGGCGCCCCACTTTCTTCATGGATCACGGATCACTGTCCGAGTGAAGTAACATAATTCTGCCTGAAGATGGCTAAAGCGCCGAAACGTTAGCTGAATAAAGTTTCCTATCAACCTAGTGTTATCTTATCAATGAAAAAGAATACAAATTGGCTAGGCTTACCGAGGTTAGAAGAAAGTCGGTTTTTGAAGTATAAGAACAGTTTTCGGTTCGTCAGTTTTGGCGGCTTCTTTGAGAGGCCATTGTGTTCTCGATCTTCTACATATTTCCTCGTTCCTTCATGTCGTAACCCATATCTATATTCTTTGAACACTATTAGTAGACCTATATTATGGCAGGAATTTTCCATCAGTGCGCATGTCCTTCTCGTTCCAAAGTTGCTTTGTTATCTTCCTATATGTAGAATAGTGAAATCTCACCCAACTCTGTGGGTGTGGAGAGATGAGGTGATTACGTAGAGATGCGATGAGGACGTCATGTTTAAAGAACAAAAGCTCATCAAGAATATCTTAATAAGTCCTTCGAAGAACGGCTTGTGTCGCACTTTTTGCTCGAATCTTCCCTGGTCTCTCTCCTAATGTTCTAAGGAAGAAATGTATTTAAATGAAAAAACTCGTCGTAAATGTTTTTATCACCATTTTTGCGCGGAGGCGTTGGTCAGAGCTGGTGTAGAATATTGGTGTTGTGGAGAACGTATTTTTGGAAGGGCTTCTGCTGTAATTTGATTCCTCCAACTGTTAATGAAATGCATCAGATTCCTTATCATCGATACGACACGTTTGTGAGTAGTACTTAATGATGACGGGTTTTTCCGGCATAGAAGCCGAAGGCAAAGAATCGCTAGGCGAAGATAGGATCCCGCGAATGTCAAATGAGAACAAAATGTGCTCGCAGAAATTTCGTGACGGAAACGGCACGGGTGGCAAAATTCCATCATTTATTCAATTTAGGTCGATTCTCTTTTAAGGGGCGTGTGCATTGTATTGCTTTGAGGTGCTCTTCAATACACATGGTCGCTAATTGGATACCGTGCACCAGGCTCACCATGCTTATCCTTCCGGAGTCGTAAATTGGTGCCAGACTTCTCTGGGAGGATCGCAACACTGACTTGATGCATCCGCAAATTATTGTTTAGGAGAAATATGCATTCATTCACCTGTAAGGATGCTTGATGGAGTCAAATGCATGACGCACTCCGCAGGAACTGATCAATGCCCGGAGCTTTAAGTCGTTTTCGTTGTTGTTTTATGTCGTTCTTGTCCGTTTTTCTCATAGGGTAATCATGTAGAATTTAATGCCACTTCGGGCCTCGAGAATAACATTTGACATGAAGGTTGCCATTTGAGGCTGCGCTGATGTTCTAAGTGAGGATTAGGAAGGAGTCTCCATGGATAGGACGTATTATTTTTCCATTGTTTGAATGATGTCATAGAGATCGTCATCGGGCTAGTCGGTGGGAGCACCCAGTGTGCATGATACGTAGGTTGGCTTATTTCTGGTCGAGCAATTAATGTTCTCTGGAGTCCCGAGATGGATTAGTTGGGGCGTCCTTAAATCGCCATCGTTCGTCACACACCATTATGAAAGAGGAGAGACTGGTAATTTGCAACTAGTTTCCCACTGAGACGACAATGATTCCGGGCGTAGAATCTTAAGCTACTTCTAGGCTTGGGAAACTTTTGAGTATAGACACTCCGCTTTAGTTCATCGCTCGACATCCGAAGGCATTCTTTAACATGAGCAAACAGTGAGCGATTGAGGCAATAGAGATCTGAGGCAAATTCTTGGATTACTAAAAAAAGTATTGTTTTCGTGTGTTGATCAAGGAATTAAGTGAGATTCAAAGATTAGCGTAGAAAGTCCTAGTTGAGGCTTGAAACACTCAAGAAATTTTGTGAGAAGCAACTTCTTAGAGAATTACGATAGCATGTATTATCTAAACGGTGGTTTTATTCTATTACAAAAAGTCATTACTTTTTCTTGGAGCAATAACATCAAGGAGATGTGAATATCTGAAATTAAATGTTGAAATCGATTAGTGGAAGGATAATGCTTAAATGTTTAATTGCTTTTAGCCAAAAGAAAGAAGGCCTTATTCATCATTCTTTCATTTCTTTGCTTCTTCGAAAATTTCAGTTGAATTACTTTTACATTGTGTCTTTGATTATTGACAATCGATAATGCATTACAGCATTAAGAGTGTCGTGGCAGCATTGATAGAACGATCATTTGGAAGCTGAAAAATCCATATACCTGCAAAATTGAGCGGTTATAGTTAAGGAAAAGATAGCAAACAGAGAGGGTTACAGCTGCACCCTTTAATCCTTCAACCTATAACTTTTGTGATGAAATCAAATTGACAACACAACCGAAGTACTGCAGTGCAGGGGCTATGGCAAGAAGGCTAGATGTTGTAGCCTTTTCCCTTTTCCATACCGAATAATAATCTGTCACAGCAGAGTGTTTGATCCAATCTTAAAGTGTTTGTTCAGGAGCAAATCGAATATTTATTTATTGTTGTGTTTACAATCGAGTGCATCTTGAAAGTGGTTGCCCTCGGTTTCATATGTCATCAGGGCGCCTATCTGCGGAATGCGTGGAACATTCTTGACTTCATTATCGTTGTTATTGGGTACGTTCTTATCTGAAGAGCTCAGCTTCTCATCTATATTGGGGCTCATGGAACAGCAACATTAAGGGTATCTAGCGAGATCTTTTGCAAACTTTATCGTGCGAAACTAGATTAGCTACTAGATTTTTGTTTCGTAAATTCTGGTGCAGTGACATTTGCGATCCGTTACATGTTCTCTACAGGTTGGTAAGTACGATCTTATCCCGAATGAACATCCAGGGATTTGACGTGAAGGCACTGAGAGCGTTCCGTGTCCTGCGACCACTACGACTAGTGTCCGGCGTGCCCAGTGAGTATATCTAGATCTAGATCTCTTACAACTCAGTCTTAAATGTGTAAAGTAAATGAAATATGACTACTTATTCTGATTTTGAAAACAAGAAGGATATTTGGGTGCACCAGTTTTATTCATCGCTTGAATTCTTTCAAAAACTGTTTCGCAAATGCTTTGTTTTTTTGAGAACAGCATCTTTTAATGTTAACGAAGAAAGCTTGAAGTGGAATATCAACCCTAAATTTCCTTTTAAAACGATCCAGCGTATTTTGATACTTCACAATTTTTTGCTTAATTCGAAAGGCTTCCACACATATTTTGATTCCACATGTAGAAATTGATGGAGAGGGCTATTAATGATCCGGAAATGGTATGCCTCTGCCGCCCGAAATTCCTGACTTTCACCAATCTCCTGTTTATACTCCTTTTACTGCATTCTATGCTACTTTTTTTCAAGGTTTACAAGTGGTCTTAAATGCCATCCTCCGAGCTATGATACCTCTACTGCATATTGCCTTGTTAGTGCTTTTCGTGATTCTTATCTACGCCATCATCGGGTTGGAGCTGTTCTGCGGAAAGCTTCACTCCACTTGGTTCGTTTTTTGTGCATATTTCAGCAATGAAATTTGAAGCTCGGATACTGAAATGTTCGGATATCGGTGAAATATTTGAAGATTAATCTAAAAACTAGCTGAGAGACAGGCAAAATGGAGGACCGGCATGGTGTGGTGATGAACGCGTTAGCCCAAGGAAAGGGTAATAGCGCGTTCGTTCCTCACCGCTGATACCTCCGGTCCGGAGTTTTGCATATATCTCAACATCATTGTGGTTATTTGAAGCTTGAACTCCATTCCATTTAATTCTGACAGGTATATTCTTAGTACTGGAGCGAGTCAATGTAAATGGCATTCCTTGTTTTTTGTTTTAAAGCTTCTATCACCTACGAAAATTTTTACGACTCTACCGAGCTTTGACTGCGATCACTTATCTTTGCTGTTGTTTCATGATTTTTCCTTAGATACGTGCATTATTGCTAGCGCGTCCTTTCAGTGTGGATCCGGCAACTGGACAATTAGCGCAGAAGGATCCGACTCCATGTGGTACAGTCGGCTCAGCTTTCCAGTGCGTCCCCTCAGACGCTCTTACAAATATGGGTGTACAATGGGAGTGCTCAGCGAACACCTCATGGCCTGGTAAGGCATTGTTTCAGTTCTTTTTAAGAGATTCTTTTTTTTGGAAAATACAGCTGGAATCCTTCAACAAACAGAACACAAAGTGGGCAGTGGAACTACTTTCTGCATATTTTTCAGTTTTTATTTCTTTTACGGGAGAACTTACTTAATCCTCTGATTAACGGCATCGTTGATGTGATGTTCTTTTCTATAGATCGAATCCAGCACAGATATCTGTGCTCTTCAATTTATTTATATAAGATCTTTCCAATTTATTCTTTTCGTTCTACAAAACACAAAGGGCGTGAGGGCTTCCTTAAATCTATCAACTCATACACTTTTATAGCCATCATCGGTGTAAGTGGTGGCTTTGAAGCCTTCGCTTTCAGCAAATAAAGTTGAGAAGCAGAAGGGCCTCGAAGCTACACGCATTGAACAAGGAATTGATTATTCGGAAGCAGTTATTTGTTCCCGAAGAATAACCTGCGAATATTTCAGGACCCAACAACGGAATCACGAATTTTGATAATTTTGGGTTGGCTATGCTCACGGTGTTTCAATGTGTATCACTGGAGGGTTGGACAGACGTCATGTACTGGGTAAATTCTTTTCGTCCCATTTTTTCTTATCGTTTATCATTTTTGAATCGCAAAAACATTGCAAAAACCTTTTGCATAGACATTTTTCTCCTAAACATTTCATCACTACATGTGAGCCTATTACATTCATCTAGGTAAATGACGCTGTCGGTCGCGAATGGCCATGGATCTACTTTGTGACCTTGGTGATCCTTGGATCATTTTTCGTGCTAAACCTCGTTTTGGGTGTACTATCTGGAGAGTTCTCCAAAGAACGAGAAAAAGCAAGAGCGCGCGGTCTCTTCCAGAAGTTTCGAGAAAAACAGCAGCTTGAAGAGGATCTAAAAGGTATGAATATCACTCGAATCGATATTTCTACTACGGATTTATCTCATTGCACACAGTTTTACATAGTATTTTATAGGTTACTTGGATTGGATAACACAAGCCGAAGATATCGATCCTGTCAACGACGAACAAGAGGAGGAACCAACGGCAACAGGTACTCGTAGTCCACGTTTGCTCCAAATCTTGCAGAATCCATCTAATTCTGTTGGGTTATCTATCTCTGCCTGGGAATCAATGCTTGCCTCCAATGAAGGGTGTAGAGGATAAAAGGATAAAGCTCTCGGCGTTGATCAATCCCTGAGGGATGTGCCGTGCATTCAACTTCATTAATCATCGTTTGGAGGTGATTGAATGGATGTATCGTGCCAGTGCTGCTATCCTCCCAGACAAGTCTGGTACCAATTGGCCGAACCTGGAGAGATGGAGGGCTTGGTGAGCCACAGGATCGAAGATCGATCCCATGTATGAATTCTAGGGCGCCTCCGACCACTGCGCCACCTGTGTCTTTGCAGGCATATGATGTCAAATAGTAGTTGAAAAGAAATGGCTGTCTCTAAACGCAACGTGAGCCATGGGGAACAGATACTGGAGGATCATCCGGTTTGATTTACTGTAACATTCATTGCTATTTCTTTTGCAGAAGTTACAATATCAAATACCAATATAGATGAAAGTCCGTATAGATGGAATCGATGCCCACATTTTGTTCCACTCATTAATCCAAGGCCGAGAGGAAAAGAAAAAACACAAAAAGCGAGAAATCTAGTGATGCTGACGTCTCGTTGGAACTTTAACGTTATGGTATATTAGAATTATTAAACGTCTATTTGTCTTACCAAGACATGGAAGGAACGGCACGATGTAAAGAAGAGGCTAATAAAAGGTTACTGCATCCAGTCCGTTGTGCGAGGTACGCGTCGGAATATCCACGATAGAACTCACTTAACATCAGAACGTAAGCCCATTTTCACCCAGGAAAGATGGAAGGACGGCAAAATGGCGCATAATATTATCGACCAGTCATGTTTTGAATTAAACTTTGAATGTAAGTTTTGCTAAACAACCAGTAATATTGTTACTCAATGTAGTTTGGAAAAAAATTAAGTCAGAACCTCTCAGTAGGGTTGGGTTTGATCTAGATGGGAATAACAGCTTTCGTTTAAAGAAGTCATTGTTCAGAATAAATAGATTTGATAGCATCTAAAACGGTTCCGCCTCCACACTTAATGGACATTTCGCAAAAAGTGCCGAAGGTTGTACTCATGAATTTTCAGCCACTGGTGAAGAAGTCGACGAAGAAGGCGAAGAACGGGCCGAGGAGACTCGGCCGTCGAAGTGGCGAGCTCGGATGAAGAGGTACAACTTTGACCATATTTCTTATGAATTTAATGAGTTATTTTATGCAGATCCAACAATGTTTAGTCGGGAGGATCTGCATACTTTGTGCTTACAAAATTAGCTATAAAGTAGTACTATCAACGCCTAACGAAGTTTTGCAGAAATTAAAAAAGGTGCACATAATTGCATTGACGGGAACAATACGAAATGCAAATGGCAGTGCAAAACGGAGTAGTCGAACGTTGTTCTTTCTGCCACTGAAAAGATTAAGTGTTATCAACCAGCGTAGAGGAGCGTAGAATACAGGGCTTGCTCGGTGTATAGAAGAAGTTCTTTCTACCAAGTTTTCTCGAAAGGTGGACTTTTGTGCGCAACTTTCTCGTGACTTCTATTTGTTCCTAATCTACGAACATCTCTTAGAAGACATGAATCATATATGATTCATGTGAAGAGATGTATGGGTCATAGATGTTGTTTTTCCTTTACGTTTTAGTTGTTTCTTCTATCGTCCAATTTTTTCACTCGATACATTTTATGTTAAACCGATAGCTTTTCCACCAGAAATGTTGGTCCACTCATCGTCTAAAAAACTATTTTTCACACTTTACAATCTACTGAAAGCCGTTGTTTAGAGGTTTTATTTTTTTGTGTACATGAATTCCACGGTACTTCCTCACCTTTTCTAAAAATGATAAAACAGAAGTCAAAGGTGTCCTTGGATCGGTCAACAGACATTGGGTTCAGTGCAAACTGCGCGTGACAAAAAGTTAGACGTTGTTTCCTTCCACATAAATTGGAATTTTGGCCTTTTCGGAAATGTGTTAAGCTTTGAAAAAATCATGGCTTGAAGCCTTATTACTCGTATGTGATGTGGAACGAAGAAGGCAGGTGCCACTGATCGATCCTGGAATATGTCTAAGAGGATTACTTTGAATTTTTTCTCTAGTAATTAACATTGGGAACTCTTCTGGTACAAGTAGATGATTAAGTTACGGCCAATTTAAAAAAAGATAAAGCTGTCGACATTGATCAATCCCTGAGTGATGCGCCATGCATTAGACTTCACTAAGCATCGTCTGAAGGTGATTGAATGAATATCTGGCCTTTACAATAACTCGTAGTGGCCTTCCGATGTGTCGAGCCAGTGCTGCTATCCTCAAAAACGAGTCTGGTACCAATTTGCCGATCCCGGAGGGATAGAAGGCTTGGTGGGCCATTAGTGCGGGGATCGATTCAATGTGTGTGTAGCAGAGCGCCTCCGACCACTGCGCCACATGCGCCCTACGACCTAATTACTAATTTGATTTTTTAACAGTGAGGCAGTTTCTAAAAGAAAACTAATAACGATAGTCATGCAGAATTAGGTCCTAACTGGCTAAAACGCAAAAGTGACGCTCCAAAAGGTCAAGTCTTTTTTAAAGAGCCATCTTGATCGCTTAAAAAATACCACATTGATATTTGTGAGACCGTTAGCTGTTAGCTCTCCTTTTCTTTTCCTTTTCGAATTTTTAAAAAATTTCCATGCACGCTCTTCTCTTTTCATTTATTCAGGTTTGAGAAAACTAATCGTCGATGTCGTCGGGCATGTCGTCGTCTTGTCAAGAGCCAAACATTCTACTGGCTTGTTATCCTACTTGTGTTGCTCAACACCTTAGTTCTTACCTCAGAACATTACGGACAAAGTGAATGGCTCGATGACTTCCAAAGTAGGCTTCGGAAATGTTTTCAATTGTACAGATATGCTTTCGTTTAATGGTCATGTCTTCGCATTTAATTCTCTCTTTATGGAAGATGCAAATTTTTATTTTCTTCTCTTCAAAGCTGTGCAATTCAGCCATGGCAAACTTATTCTTTGTCATTCTGTTCTCGATGGAGATGTTGTTGAAAATGTACTCTCTTGGCTTCACGACCTACACAACCTCACAATTCAATCGTTTCGATTGTTTCGTTGTAATTAGGTAAGGGGTTTTTTTTATTTTTTTCTTCTATGCATTTTTTTTCTCACTACAAAATTGGCAGATATTGAAAGCTCAAAGAGCCGTACAGCTGTTTAATTTAGCTCCATCATCGAGTTCGTGTTGTTATATCTTCGTCTGATGAAACCTCTTGGTGTGTCAGTGCTTCGTTCTGCAAGGCTTTTAAGAATCTTCAAAGTCACAAAGTAAGCTTCTTTTAAACTACTCCAACATATTCTTCTTATAATGCATCAAATTTGTTTTATTCTAAATAGATTTCAAGAACTCATTTGAAAGAATTGGTCTTCGCTTGAATCTTAAGAAGATTCTTTATGAAAAAATGGATTCTTTCCCAGTGCTGCATTCACTCTCTTTCGAAAGAATATGTCATAATGCTGTATCAAGATTGAGAAGTCGGTATGAACGAAATAGCGCCAGAATTAAGAAAGAGGAAGGAAGCGGCTTCCAGAACTAAGATCGGCGTCAGAGATGTGATAAGAAGGCCAACAAGAATTCTGTTTTGGCCCTATCTTTTCGACTGTACCATTTCCATTCCCTTACATTAGCATTGAAAACGTGAGTGCCACAAAAGCAGCGTGAACCGTTGTTCAACAATATCAAACATGCAATTCTTAGCGCGATGCTAGGAATATCTCGTATCACGCAAGTAGCAGAGAGAGTCAAACGCTCCGACCTAAGTCAACAACCAAACATGAGACACTGCCATACGTGTGAAAAGTTGATAATCAGATCATCTGTTGCGTCCTTAAAGATAATCGCTAGTCGGTTGACCCTTCGGAGACTGGTTTCCACAGAATGTTAGGCCCACAAACATTATGACATCGTCCATGTAGTCTCAGGTGTCATTCACGAAGATTCTAGAGAAATATGTTCTCACTGTTCTTTGGGATCAGTCTTCTAACAGATAACAAAGGTAACTATGTATATGTCATATAATAAAATTATAAAGGATAAAGCTCTCGGTCTTGATCAATCTCTGAGGGATGCGCCATGTATTCGACTTCAGTGGGCAGCTTTAGAGGTGATTGAATGGATATCTGGCCCTTATAATGGCTCGCGTGGCCTACCGATGTATAGAGCCAGTGCTGCCATCCTCCCATACAACTGCGGTACCAATTTGCCAGCCCCGCAAGCATGGAAGGCTTGGTGAGCCTAGGCCAAGGGAATCTATTCCATGTGCGTTGCAAGGCGCTTCCGACCACTGCACTACACGCGCTCCTGTCATATAATAATTACGGGAAACTGTAGGCATACTTATATAAAAAGTAAACGCAATTAGATTTACTTATTTAAAGGTACTGGACATCTTTGCGGAATCTCGTTTCGTCACTGCTAAATTCACTTCGATCTATAATGTCTCTGTTACTGCTTCTGTTCCTGTTCATCGTCATCTTCGCCTTGTTAGGAATGCAAGTAAGGTGTTCCTTGTCCATTTTGGAGAGCAGTCCTTACAGCTTGCATTCCCACCAATGTATTTCGTATCGTTTCAAACTAGTGGCCTCGCTCTTCTCGTCATATGTCTTCATGTTTACTTCTCAATGTTCTAATTCACGTTTGCATAAGGTGTTCGGTGGAAAGTTCAACTTCAACCCCCAACAGCCAAAACCAAGAGCAAATTTCGATACATTCATCCAGGCGCTACTTACGGTCTTTCAAGTAAGCATATTTTGCTTTTATCATGTGACATTTGTTATAAAACTATTAGGAGATCTATGCATATGTTTTTACGAACTGCCCTTGTTGAGCTGACCCGAGGTTGGGAGATCGTTTTTACCAAATCTTTCGCTTTTAATCTTCATTAATATGTAGATCTTGACTGGTGAGGATTGGAACACAGTGATGTATAATGGTATCGAATCATTTGGTGGAGTGGGAACTCTTGGTGTCATTGTTTCGATATATTATATTGTTCTTTTCATTTGCGGTTAGTTCCTAGTTGCTATTATCTCTATTATTTCGTATTTTTAAATTAGTCTCGATTTTGCTTGAGGACCACATATCTGCTAGTTTTTTCCTAGTAATAAATCCCTTCATACATTTGCTACAGTGTCCAATTTTTGGCTGCGGGCCTCTTGAAACGATATCTATTGCTTAACCGTTTTACGACCGCGCCAAATTTCTTGTGGTCGACCCGCCGAATTTCTACCAACCCACTTTGTTCATCTGTGTACGTTGCGGTACTCTTGGGCACCTCTTGTGTCAGATCCAGTTCTTGTAAATGGTGAAAGAATTTCTCCTCAGTCTAATCACGGTGCTATTAATTTTCTTCGTGGTTTTGTACAGTATTTCATGTATTTTCATGTCTCCTTCACGTTTTTTTACAATTCTATTGCACTGTTCGAAAGCGGCTTTTCACAAATATAGCGCATTGAGAAAGCCTAACCATGGCTTGGCGCCAATATAAAAAATGTTTTCGACAGGCTATGGACTGAACACAAAAAGTCTGGCTATGCGTCGATATGGTCCAGAAAAGAGCTGGTGCAATGACATGAAAATATACGGTCCTAAACGTACAACAGTGTGCATATCGAAATCAATGCGCGCATTCGATAAGGGGTTAAAGCATTGAGAACTTTATCGGCTTGCACATGAGCTTTTTCTATGTCACCCTGGTTGGATGCATGGTTTGTCTGGGATCTCAGTTTAATTCTAAACTATTTTAAAATCCACTTTTTCGGAAGTTGGAAGCAAGGCCAAAATTTTGAAATTTTTTTTGACGTAGTCGTGAGTAGCAAACGTCAACGACGCATCTGCGGACGTCACCGCATCTTACTGGATAAGGTTCTGTTTATTTTAACGCTTGGATGCTCAAAATATGAGCCTTGATTTAAAAAATTCCACTGAATACGCTTCTGGGCGAGGAAGTATCAATAGCTCACCATGATAAATAAACAGAAACCTATTCAGAAATTTACACCCCGTCACGTGCGAATTGAAATCATGCCAATGGAGCATATTATCTCACTGCGTACTTACCAGTAAAATTTGCCTCTTCGTCTCCAGCCGACATTAGAGGAATTCATATCAACAATTTACTTACTTGATATTTGAGCGGCCCGTCATCACTAGTTCTGCAGGCCCCACCATAATCGCCATTTTCGGAGACTTGCTGGTTAAGCTATTGTGGTTCCCTGGAATCCCGAGGACAGCCTGGCCAAAGTTTGCCCCAGGTCGTCACCACGACAGATAGTCGCAGCCCTTGTGGATCAGAGGGATATTTACGATCATGCAGCTTTGATACCAAGACGGTAGTGGATCCTGGTATTGGTTTACTGTTAGCTAGGCTTCTTGATGGAAACCCTGGACTCGTTCTCAGCTTGAGAGACCCTGCCGGTGGGACGAATCCCCCGCTGTACATCGCAGTCCGACACCCAGGAACACCTCCCAGCCACGATGAGGCGGTAAACCGTTGGGAGGCACATGTGTATATATACATATATATAGTACTGAAATATACTTATTGGCGCAATCGAATACCGAGGATTCACACCAACGTAGGTAGATGGTGGGCTACCTTTTAATCACAACGAAGCTAAAAACGAGGAGAAACCCATAAAATAACACTGAGAATAAGCAGACAATGAGAAAAGGGCAAAGTGTAAAGTGTGCAGTGTTTTTTTTTGCGGTAGATGAAATTTAGATTTCCGTGATGGATTTCTTACAAATCATAGCGCATACGGCAAAAGAATTAGGTGCTGTCTCGCTATCGCTCGGCTATCAAAGATTAGAAAATCTTCGCATTGCTGCCAAATTCAAATGGATTGTGGCAGTGCTGTTTTCAAAAAGGGATTTCGTACAAGACGAGATCCCAATATCAAAGCAACTTCCCAAACCGGTTCGGATGAATCACTTTTCGTTTTCGGTTGACATTGGTCTAATTCTTAACAATTTAGAAGTAACAAATTTTTGAGGGAGACACCAGTCGTTTCTACATGCTTTTTTCGTCGAGGCCCTCATTTCGAGCAACGAAGCGTTTAAATAAGTGGGATACCGACAGGACACATTGATGCGTTTTAATGTGGTACTGATACTCGTCAGTTAGCGATCAGTACAAAATTTTCGAAGACTTAAGCTTACATTACCATTTTATGAAAGTTTTGATTTTAGTTTCACTCGATATGTGTATTTGAAACCTGTAGAATGTTCTGAATCTGTCGCAAATGTGTTGAAGCTGTTCATCTCAAAATCACTTATTCGGAAAAACTTTTCCAACGATTTCTTCGCCTTTCCCTATCTGTACCAGCGAAGTTTCTGTTGACGGTTGTTTAGTTTTATTGTGAGTTAACAAGTGTGTTTGTTTGAGGTAACTACATTCTGTTGAATGTCTTTTTGGCTATCGCCGTTGACAACCTAGCAGATGCTGACAGTTTGACAAACGCTGAAAAGGAAGAGGAACAGCAAGGTTGGTTGATCTTTAGCAAAAATCAAAGGAGACCTGTACTGATTGTGCGGCCCATGTCTACTTTGTAACGATTGTCCTTATTTTACAAAAGTAGCGTAACTTTACAGCTCGGTGATTGTCTGTTTAATTTTGGTGTATTGCCTTCAAAACGTTTTCAATATTTGATCCTCAACCATGTTTAGCACACTAGTGTTTACTCAGCTTCTTTGCGCGAGCGGTGTTTCTCTGTCGGATTGAGAGGAATTTACCAATATTTGAGTAGATCTCCACTCATTGTACTTTGAACATGATTATTTGGTGTTCGAAACAAAATCTGTAGCACTTTCTAGAATTAGTTATGAAAATTGCAAGGGAATGATGTAGTTTTGTATAGAACGTGTTGGTTTATTCTCGGAGCTTTTGTCTTAAGAATGTGAAGTAACACTAAAGCGCGAGCGAGATTGAAACTGTTGGAGAAGGTCCAAATAGAAAAGTTTCAAAGCATTCTTCCTTTTCAGAGCTAGAAGGCGATGAGGAGTACGATGAGGAAGATGAAGGATTCGACGATGGCGATGAAAGGTACTGTTTCTTATAAGGTCCACTTCCTATTTGCATAAAATTTCAATGATTCTTAGAATAAAGACAAAATTTCTACTGCTGCCTTATGAAACTTCCACTCAGAAATCGTTATGTACGAAATTAAAACTGCAGAAAAGTAACTAGTGTGTTATATGTTTCTTCAAGAACACATTTATCGCAGGAAATCTTTCGAGGATCCAAATTTTGTCCAAGATGTTTTCACCTTAAAACAAATGAAACTAGAAACCAATGGCTTGTGGACGAAATCTGCATTGTGACATTACTTTCCCAATCTGCTTCTGTTCATCCCTTCTATGAATGTCCTCAAAAAGTTGACACATAACGAATGGCGCTCGACTTTTGTTAACCACCGTTAGTCTTTGAATAGCCAAGTTACTGAGTAGTTTAGAACGTGATAGACTTATAAAAAGGCTTAGATCTGTCGTATCTACGGTGTACATAATCTTCTTAAACTATTCCTCTATTTCTTAAAGCTATTTGCCGCTGAACTTTGCCAAAAAATCGGAAACAAGTTCAAATATCTGATATCTCCGGTGTGAACACGGCGGCGGCAGACATCGGCGATCGGTGGTCACCCATGTCTTCCACGGCGTGAAACTTCGCCTTCTCAACTGGTTCGCTCAAAAAACGAGCGTCACGAAAAGAAAAAGAAACAAAAGAGATTTCGAGGAGAATGAAATTCTAGTTCCGTTTTAGGAAAATAACTTTTTCCTGTGTTTGTGTCCTGTTGCGAAAGGTCTTTGATATTCTCATTGTTTTATTTCATTTAGTAAGATTAGCTATGATTTGAGATACTTCGGCTAAAGTAGAAAGCGCCCAGCATTCTCGTCTGGTATGTATCGAATTCAATGCACACCATCTGTCATCTGTTAATCGTGTTTTGCAAGTTTATATATAATGGATGGTTTTGACTTAATAACTGAAATAGATGAGGTCAGAACTTCACATGCATATAGGTGAGACTTCATCTGATCGCTTTAGCAGTACATATAATTTTTCTAAGGGGTTATTTTATTTTCATTTTTTTTCTAGGACTTTTAGAACCTAGGTTTGTAAAAAACTGCTTTAGACCAACGCCTAAATTCCGTTGTTGGCGCAATGGTACAGCGCCTGACTTTAGATGCATTGAAATCAATACGCACTCTCCCCATGCTCTATACGAGTGAAGAGGGCTTCTGTTTTTATTAGCAACTGTTTTCGAATTACTCCACCGATACCAAAGCAACGTTTGCCTCGTGTAGAGAAATCTTGGTTCCTTCCTGATGAGTGGTAGTATGGCTGTATGGAAAACGCTCCTCGTCATCAATTAAACTCAGTGTCCCAGTGAGGGAAATTGTTGGAGAAACATTGAAAATTGTTATGTGCAAAATATAGTTTATCACAGGCCAGATTCTGCACAGCATCTAGCTTCTATGAAAGCTTTTAGGCTTTTTAAATTTTTTTTCAAACTTCAATGTGGCCCAGTATCGTATGTTGTGTGGGTCTCGGAACTTCATTCGTTTTTTTGCGGAAACATCCATCACCCACGATATTCTCCGATTTCTGTGTGGGTTCTGCTGCTGCTTAATGACTTTAGTCTTCTTTATAAATTAAATTATGATCGAGTGGATTCTTTCTGGCATACAGAAATATCTCTGCTAGCATGTTCCCACCTGCTCAGCATTTCGGTATTTCATCTTTGTCGATCAGATGTAGTTCTTCCCAAAAACGTTTGGTGCCTATTCTTTACTCTGGAAGAGTTGAAGGCTTAGTTGACAGAGGGAAAGAGATTAAATAAACTTGAGAGGATTATTGAACGGCATCCTTACTGCTGTGATTCCTGCGACCCAAAAGGCTGTCGGTTAAATATAAATCTGAAGCAAAAAACACATAAGAATCCACCGAAAAGAAGGTGCATTGAAACCAGCGCGTTGTCCATTTTGCAAACCATATATATTGTAAACGATGTGCATCACCACAAATAGGGTAGCTTTTTAAGTTTACTGAAGTAAATGCAAACGTGGCACTCATAACACATTGTGACACATCGTCATCGTATCCTGATGGTCGAAATTTCTTTTGTTCGTTGCCTTGCTCGATATGCGGCTTCGACAAAAAGGACGAAGAAACGATTTGTTCACTTCAGAATATCAGAGTTTCATCATGGTTGGAAGAAAAAAGAAACATATCTCACTGGGAAAGAGTTTTGCATTACAGTGGTTCGCATTTAATTTAACCCAGTGCTCCATGAGATGTGTGCATTCAAAGTTGAAAAGATTCTCTCAATTTCACTTTCATTCAGTTCACACCGTCCATTATCTGTTCAAAGATTTTTGGGAGTCTATGTTGCTGACCCTGTTGCATAAGCAGCTGTGTGGTGTGCGAGATGTTTTTGAAGGACATTTAATTTTTTGGAAATAATTATCCTTACAGATTCTTTTACAAATATTCTTTCACAAGGATTATGCTGTAAATCATGCAGCCATTATTGTCAGATTGTTTCAAACCTTCCAATAAATTCTGTGGCGAAGATTTTTTGGCGCTTTAACGCTCTTTTAGATTAATAGTGAGCTTAGCAGGATAAAGAGGGTATGAGGTATAGCACAAGTAAAACATTAGACTTTTTTTGGTATCAGTGGTCTGTTATCTTTATTTTCTATAAAGTGAGAAATGGTAAAGCGTAAGTTATTTCCATTGCGAACCTTCATTCAACCTTGCCATTTACTTTCAGTTTGTTTGTTTATTGCTAAGTCTAAAACACGATCGTTGTGAAACTTTATTGCCGATGACGTTTCGGCCCGATCCCCTTCTTTGGAGCGGCGATCATTTGAGTCCAGTATCCAGAGCACTTATTTTTTGCCATAGGAAAAATCTCTTTCCCTAATAGAGTCGAATCAAGTGGAGTGGATCGAAGACAAATGAAATGTTCTCACCAAACAGCGCCTTTTTACACAGAACGCTTCTTCATCTATTGCTATTTAATGTTATGACTTATAAAAACCTTGTGTATACTTATCAATAGACCGAGATATTGATCACCAGGAAAGAATTACAATGAACTGCCATTTTGTGTCGTTTTGCAGATTGAACTAGCGTAGTCGATAGTGGATGTTTCTAGGATGGACATGGAAGAGCAAGAGGCCGGCGAAGAAATAGTAACAGCCCGTCCAAGGCGAATGAGCGAACTGCCAACGGTCACACCACACAAACCAATCCCAAAAGCGTCATCATTGTTCATACTCAGCCATACGAATCCGTTTAGGTAGGAAGTATCCATTCATTCCTGGATCTATGAGTTAGATTACTGCTTAAATACTTTTACTTTTCAAAATTAAAGTAGCAAGAATGTTTTGCTCTTACATTTTTGTGTGCATATTACGGATATTTTACGCCAAAAGAAGCAGACGTTGTTCATTGGGAAACTTTATACTTGAATGACTAATTTTAATGGATTACAAAGAATGGTTACATCAGCACACTTTCAGTTGAATTTGCTGGTTGGGGGAGGTGTTCCTTCCTTGTAGTGTCTGATCCCATGCTAATGCTTTCCCAATTCATTACCTTCTTCCACTCAGTAACTGCGTTATTGCCATGATGTCGGTGACTCCTGATACTGGGTTTCTCTCAACAGAACATCCAATGAAAATGTAAAATTTTCTTAGCCACTGTCAATGGGATGAACCCTAAGTTTTAGACGTCTGTCGCACACTCAGGTACCCCTCCCAACAACAGTTAGGTGATACAGCTTCGTATTCTTGTTGAGCAAACGCGAGGTGTTATTTTTATTCTTTATTCACGAATAAGCTGACGTTTCGGCAGATTTCGCCTTCCTCAGAGCCTGGAAAAGTCAAGTTGACTGCCCACCTACACGGCCAAATACCTCCATAAACTAAACAGAAAAAATTCTGAACCAAAATTTCAGTCACATCTAACACAGAATAGCTTCTTGGCACACTCACAGCTTTCTATGAGTCTTCCGCTGAGTATGTCGAGTGGAGACCTACCGCACAGAATTCACATGGAGGCATAATATGCCCCTCCCATCAGAGTAACAATCTTATATACTGCCCAATATCACGCGTGATAATGAGGCATTCTTTCCTGCGGTTCATTTTCGGATTTCTGGAATTAATCAAGAACGCCTCGAGAGTTTTGCGCGCTTGTGTCCTCGATTCTTGAGCGAGGATCGTGACGCATACTTCAAAGTCCTCCCCGTTATGGATATGGGTCCTATGCGTGCCTACTTGGGTATTTGGTTGACGTCTGCCGACAAGGTGTTCTTTTATGCGGACGCAGAGTGGTCTACCCGTTTCGCCAACGTATTCGTCCACGCACACCTTACAGGAGGTCAGATAAACCATACCCGAGCTCATGCAGTCACCGTCTCTACCATTGGGGCAAATTATGCAATCTTGCGTTGCACATAGACGGTCATATAGGCGGTTACCAACTAGCTGGCGCTTAAGATTATTCGGTGGCATTTCAACTACATTTACCGAATTTTCTACACCCGCCCTTCTTTAGCAGCGTTTTATAGCTGTACTTACATCATTTGACACCTGTCAGAAAATGGCTATATTACGGAGTGGTACCGAAAGCCAAGTAGTAAGAACATCTTGGTTCATTACCTCTCCTCTCACCCCTCTCACACGAAAAGGGAGGTTGTAAGAAACATGTTTCGAACAGCAACCAACGTGTGCACGGGAAGAGAGCAGAGAGAGGAGTCCCGGAACTTGGCGCGGCAAATAGCCATGTCTAATGGCTATGAAACTGTAGCTCGGGATAGGGATGGGGGAAATCCTAGGCCCCCAAGCGACAACTCTCGCGATAGAAAGGTCTCGTTTATCTTACCCTTCATCTCAAATGATGTAAGTGCAGCTATAAAATGCTGCTTAAGAAGGGCGGGTCTAGAGAATTCGGTAAAGGTAGTTGAAATGCCACCGAGTAATCTTAGGCGCCAGCTAGTTCGTAACCGCCTATACGACAGCCTATGTGCAATGCAAAATTGCATAATTTGCCCCAATGGTAGAGACGGTGACTGCATGAGCTCGGGTATAGTTTATCTGACCTCCTGTAAGGTGTGCGTGGACGAATACGTTGATGAGACGGGTAGACCACTTTGCGTCCGTATAAAAGAACACCTAGTCGGTAAACGTAAACCAAATACTCCAATAGGCACGCATAGCACGCAGAAACATAACGGAGAACATTTTGAAGTAAGGGTTACGATCCTCGCGCAGGAATCGAGAGCATAAGCGCGCGAAACTCTAGAGGTATTCTGAATTAATTCCAAGAATCCGAAAATGAACCGCAGGGAGGAGTACCTCATTATCACGCGTGATATTGGGCAGTGTATAAGCCTGTTGTTCTTATGGGAGAGGCACACTATGCTTCCATGTGAATTCTGCGGTACGTCTCCACTCGACATACTCAGTGGAAGGCTCATAGAAAGCGGTGAGTGTGTCAAAATGCTGTTCTGTGTTCAATGTGATTGAAATTTTGGTTCAGCATTTTCCCTGTTTGGTTATGGAGGTGTTTGGCTGTGTAGATAGCAGTCAAGTTGACCTTTCCAGGCTCTGAGGAAGGCGAAATCCGCCGAAATGTCAATTTATTCGTGAATAAAAAATAAAAGTAACACCTCGCGTTTCCTCAACAAGAATACGAAGACTTGCTTGGTCAATGCCGAGGTTAATAGAAAATCGGTCGTAGATGATACATCGTCGGAAGGTCCATTGAGATCCTCCGTGGTAATCGTAACTAAATTGTTTTAAACTCCTATGAAACAGGGTTTTTTTTGAGCTGATGTAAATTGGCGATAGCCATAACAATGACTTACTTTCACGATATTAAAAGAACTTTCTGCACTGGTACGGTATTTATACCATAGTACTTTATTATCTGAATGACAGAATACCTTTCCTTTCTGGTTTCACCGATGATTTTTAACTTATAGGCTTTTTTAAGGGTGTTTTGCAATAGAATTGTGAATCATTCCTACTTCACGAACAGCGTTCTAGTCTGCATTCTCGTATCATCAGCAATGTTAGCTGCAGAAGATCCCCTTGAAGCAAATTCCAGTCGAAACACAGTAAATAAACCTATCCTATTCTTAATGGAAAATAAGAAAGTGATGTTCGTAATTAATTTTTCAGGTCCTCAACTACTTTGATTACTTCTTCACCACAGTTTTTACTATTGAAATTACTTTAAAGGTATTTCATACTATTGAAGTTTTGGAATTGGTAGTTATTGTCTCTATATTCAGGTGGTTGTCTTTGGACTAGTGTTTCATAAGGGATCATTTTGTCGCAATGCCTTCAACCTACTCGACATTCTAGTCGTTGCTGTCTCTTTAGTTTCATTCGTTTTGAAGTCTGATGCTATTTCCGTCGTGAAGATTTTGCGGTTGGTTGTACATGCAAGGTTTATCCGAGGAATGTATTAAAAGGAGTTTTCCAGAAAAGTAAATTACTTTCTGGAACCCAAGCTTTGTGCTCAACTTAAAAGCTACATTGACATTTTTCCATCCTTTTTTGAGTATTCTTCAAAAAATTGGAGGTGATGATATCTAGTGTTTGATCCATTATAAAATATCAGAGGTTCCTGGAGCTTCTAAGGGCTTCGCCAAGATTTTCTGTGTTTAGTGTGCTGCGTGTACTTCGTCCACTTCGTGCCATCAATCGTGCGAAAGGTCTAAAACACGTCGTGCAATGTGTGATCGTTGCCGTGAAGACAATCGGAAACATTATGCTTGTTACATTTATGTTACAGGTACATCGCTCGCATATTCTGTACAATGGCAGTATTTCCTACGTCGTTCTGTTCCTTGAGCTTTTTTCATTTCTATTTAGTAGTTTCTGCCTATGGAAACACAAATTGACAGTTGTGTCAGAATACAATTTCAGTTTATGTTTGCAATCATCGGTGTACAGCTGTTCAAAGGAACGTTTTTTTCATGTAATGACTTATCTAAAGTAACAGAAGCGGAATGCAGGTTAGCTAAGCATCGTTTTTTAGCTCCTATCACTCACTCATTTGGCTTATAGAGGTGAATACATTCACTATGAGGATGGTGATCCCACTAAGCCAGTGTCGAAGAAACGGGTTTGGTCTAACAACGATTTCAACTTCGATAACGTTGGTGATGCCATGGTGTCGCTATTCGTCGTCTCCACATTTGAAGGATGGCCTGAGTTAGTTTGTTCGTTTTTGATGTTGATTGCATTAGATTCTAAGACTCTTCACACGTGGGACTTCTGTATGTATGTTCGCAGCGCCAAAGCTCAAACTTGGGCAATTAAGCTCTTGTACAAATAAAACGACAAAGATTACATTAAAGGAATTGGAGCGAGAGGAAAACACGAAGACGGCACCATCCTCCAAGAGGATGATGATCCCTAAACTCTATTTATTGTTGACGAAGAAGATCTTTCGCTTAAGAAGAGAATGTCCTATAGTTTTCCCCAGTCACTACAAAAGAATTTTACCTTCTAAAGCTGTTTTAAAGCACGTTACAGTCATGCGGAAAAAGCACGTCGAATACTTACTTGAATAATTGAATGACCAGCCTTCATCAGTGTTGTGTGCTCCAGTACACTTTTCATTCGTCTCTTTCTCGCGCACACCTTGCCTGTGCTGGTGGTCTGTTTTCTAAATGATGGTGTTTCCTAGGTTCATTTCATGATACGTAAATCAGTTCAAGCTGCGAATGCAAGTAGTTGACGAGAATTCGTCCATCTATCTTCCATTCTTCTCCTTAAATGACTGGCTCATCTGATCTGATTTCGAAGCCTTCAAAAGTTTCAACCACATATTTCTGATAGGTGTTTTATGCGCCGTTGCTTCAGAAGACGTAATTCAAGTACTCTGTCGGCGATGCCGCATAACAGGCCGTTGTGAGAATAAAAAGTTGAGTCGCAAAGGTAAGCGGGAATCTTTGCATCCGTTATTTAATCAGTGGCTTCTTCGATGGAGGTGACGCGGCTCATGCTGCTCTCCTTGTTTTATGTCATTCCCCCTTCATATTATTCTCCACGTCCATTTCACCTCTGTAGTACACCTACGAAGCTGCCGTTGTAATCAGAGAGCCTTCTGGTTCCTTTAGAGCAATACGGTGCCAATCTCCAGAGCACGGAGAGATGGAGGACTCGATAGGTGCCGGGAGGTGTAAATATATGGTAAGGTGGAACTTGACAAGTTACTAGTTGTTCGTGACCAACTCTTCAAAATAAATGCTGGAAACGGAAGGGCACCTGACCAAAAATGTGTGGCTCTCAGTATAACTCGTGTGTGCTATTGTGCCATGGAGACGAATGGAGTTTGCTGCTGCTCAAGTTCCTTAGTGGTTAACGCACTCAAAGATGACACAGGTGACAGTTATATCTGTAAGGAAGTGGCTTCCTTCCGTAGATGTATCACTCTAGTTCGTTCTTCCAGTGTAAAGCATGCTTATGTGCTTGAATCAGTGGTAATTACTTGTTATACTGGAATCGATACACAATAGTGCTTCCTGCAAAATTTACTTGGTCGCTGGGTCGATCTCGCCACTGAACAAAATAAACCCACCACTTTTTTAGGGTCGACGCATTGGTACCAGACTTGCTCTGTGAGGATAAAAACACTGCGTTGTTACATCTGTAGCTTCCTCAAATCGCTATCTAAGCCAAATATGCATGCGCATGCAGTAGTCCCTCTTGATCATCAAAAATATGACGCGTCACTAAGGGATTGCGCACTCTAGCGCCTTGATATTTCACCGTAATCCAAATCGGCAGTGGTTTACGGAAAATGCGAAATGGTATTATGCTAGTTTTTTTTTGCTCTTAAAAGCTGTGAGAGGCATTGAAATGATCCTGTTGTCTTGAGGTATTTTCGACAATTCGTTATTTAAAATCCAACGAAAGTTTACGTTTCCGGAATTCTTGGTTTCCAGAATCACTTCATTAGTTCTCACTTAATCAAGTTGTAGTATCGATATTCGATGTATTCATCCAAAGCAATTTGTCATCGGGGCAAATTTCCCTTATAATTTAATGCTCTCTATTGTTGTTTACCTATGAAAAAGTTCACTTCAAATCATACTTTTACACATCATTTTATCTAGCTTGCTGTATGTTGCGATCAACTCGAACGAAGAAGACCATGGTCCTATACACAACAGTCGCCAAGCCGTTGCTTTGTTCTTCATAGCGTTCATTATCGTTATAGGTGAAGCTTTTAAGAGCTTGTTTTATTTATGCCGACTGTTTTAACTCATGAAAGCTTGCATGTGCTCCTTTGTATTTTCTTCATACATCTAGCTTTCTTCATGATGAACATCTTCGTCGGTTTCGTCATTGTCACCTTCCAGAACGAAGGAGAACGTGAATATGAAAATTGCGAGTTGGACAAGAATCAGGTGCGCTGCTCACGGTTCTTGTTATTCATCATCTTCCTGCTTTCTTTTTTTGGGAATCGATTTCTTTACACAATGTTTTCAATTTTTTCGCACGTTCATTCCTTGTTCCAGTTCATCCTTGGAACAGCTTTTCTTAGACTTTCTTCTCCACAACTATTTCCGACATCGTCTCATCGTTTTTTTCCTTTGTTTTAACACGTTCTCGCGAACATCTAACTTTTGAAGGCGAACTATGCTTATTTATCGCCGCGCACCTATGCGTTGAACTCAACACGTCCAAAATGTCCTGAAGGTTTCACTGTCCTATGTAACTCTGCCTTTTCGATGACAGTCGGACTGATTATGATCACCATTTTCTTCTTTGATGCATAGAACCATTTTCTTCGCATTTTGTTGAGTCATTTATGGCAAACACTTCGGGTGTGGTGATAAACTAGACGAGTAGATAGGCTTAGCAGCCGTGGAAATAGGTGGTTCGTAAGGGATGAACATCTGTTGAAGAGAGATGAAAATATTCATGGCCTTTTGCTTTCAAATGCAGGAATTGGGTTGCCTAGGTTGAAAACTTATTACAGTCTGGCTTCCATTTTTTTGGGTACGTTGACAACAGAAAGGACAAAACGATGAACCGTTCGGTGTTGGTCAGTACCGTGAGGAATACGCCATGCACACGACTTCAGTAACCATTCTTAGATGTTATAGAATGGACAATATAATGACTTGCAGTGGCTTATCGATGCCGATGATGACCGAACAAGTCAGTGCTGCTATCCTTCCCGACAGCTCTGGTAGCAATTTGCCAACCCCAGAGGGATGAAGGGCCTGACGAGCCTACCGAATCGATCCATATGTATTTATGTGATCTTATAAACTGATCTTCTTAAGCTGACGCGAGGTTGGTACAGATCTTCGTTGTCGTTGTCGTTGTTTTTGATGTTATTGAACGATGGCTGACGTTTCGGCGACTTCGCCTTCCTCAGAGCCTGGACGTACTTTATGTTAGAATACTTTTTATTATTCGGTGGAAAAGAAGGTTAAAGTATTAATGAAGATCAAACTTTCAAATAGACGCCATATTGAACAGAAAGGCCACTCACCGTGATGTTACGTGCGGGACTGGCCGACACGTAGTTCACGCGAGCAAGACACGCCCCGAGGTCAAAATATCATTTTGAAATAGGGCGCCAGGTCACGCGTGATAGTGAGGCATTCGTCCTTCCGGTTCATCTTTGGATTTTTGAAATTTATCCAAAACGCCTCAAGAGTTTTGCGCGTTGATGTTTTTGATTCCTGCGCTAGGATCCGCACATTCACTTCAAAATCATCGCCGTTGTGCATTTGTGCCCTATGCGTACCTAGAGGGGTGTTTAAACGGATTTTAGCTTTCCCATCTAGATGTTCTTTTATGCGGACACAAAGTGGTTTCCCCGATATATTCCTCGCCGCATNAGCTGACGCGAGGTTGGTACAGATCTTCGTTGTCGTTGTCGTTGTTTTTGATGTTATTGAACGATGGCTGACGTTTCGGCGACTTCGCCTTCCTCAGAGCCTGGACGTACTTTATGTTAGAATACTTTTTATTATTCGGTGGAAAAGAAGGTTAAAGTATTAATGAAGATCAAACTTTCAAATAGACGCCATATTGAACAGAAAGGCCACTCACCGTGATGTTACGTGCGGGACTGGCCGACACGTAGTTCACGCGAGCAAGACACGCCCCGAGGTCAAAATATCATTTTGAAATAGGGCGCCAGGTCACGCGTGATAGTGAGGCATTCGTCCTTCCGGTTCATCTTTGGATTTTTGAAATTTATCCAAAACGCCTCAAGAGTTTTGCGCGTTGATGTTTTTGATTCCTGCGCTAGGATCCGCACATTCACTTCAAAATCATCGCCGTTGTGCATTTGTGCCCTATGCGTACCTAGAGGGGTGTTTAAACGGATTTTAGCTTTCCCATCTAGATGTTCTTTTATGCGGACACAAAGTGGTTTCCCCGATATATTCCTCGCCGCATGCATTACATGAGATCAAGTATATTATACCTAAACTCATGTAATCCCCGTCTCTCCCGTTAGGACAGATCATACAGTTTTCTGAGCTGCACAAACGATCATAGAGACGGTTTCGAACTAACTCATATGTATTGCAAGGCAACTCTAACCACTCTACTACGCGCACCACTTAGTGGCAAGACACTGATTGAAATATATTAGCTCACTTTGATTTTACTGGTAATCTAGTCTATGACGAACAAGACAGTTCGTATAAGATTACTTAATTTACTGTCTCAATGATTAGAAATTCGAAGAGAGGCGTGCCGCAAACCTGGCAAGTCGTCCGTGTTGACTAACCTCGTGTGCCGTTTAAAGGAAGGATCTGATTCTATCAATACATACCGCATAGCATACATATCTATGAGACCAGATTGTCCACGTTGACGGCCATTCCCACGGAACTGCAATGGAGACCGTTCAGAAATACATGTGTGGCTCAAGCGGTAAACAGTAGTCTCATAGATGACTTGTTGAATAAAGAAAGACATATGTGCACTAAATAGTGCGCGTAGTGCAGTGGTTAGAGGTGCCAGTCTTACACGTAGGGTCATAAGTTGGATCTTGCGTCTCATGCAAGCGAAGCCCTTAATCCGCTTGGGGTCAGCATATAGGCATCGTGTCCGTTTGAATCGATTAGATACTGAATTAATGCCTGGATAGGCAACCGAATGGACGTACGGGCCAGATAGGCAATCAGTCGTCTATGCACTGTTTTATAAAGACACCCATGTCGGATCCATATTTCATCCTAAACCCACACTCGTAAGCTAACCATGTTCTGGAAAGGATACTGACAGTTAAAAAATATACATTATATTAATTATCATAAGAAAGACCACGACATCAGGTTAAGAACATTTCCGTTTGAACTCCTTCAGTAGTCACAATTTTAACCTATTATTTACTGCCTACTCTTTTTAACGGCAGGGTATACATTGTGAAATATAATTTCAATGGCGCTGAGATATTTGCAAAACTCCGGACCGCAGGTGTATGCGGTGGGCAACGAACGCGCTATTGTCCTTTCCGGGGAGTAGCGCGTTTACCACCACACCACGCGGGTCTTTTGTTTCGTCTGTCTTCTTAACTGGGTTCAGCCCCAGTTTAACTAGGTTGAATGCCGATTTGGGCTTCCCATATCAATCCCGTTGACGGCATTGCTGATGGCAAAAGATCGATAGAACTAGCTGAGAGACAGGCGAAACGAAGGACCCGCGTGGTGTGGTGGTGAGCGCGCTATTCCCCGGAAAGGACAATAGCGCGTTCGTTTCCCACCGCATACACCTGCTGTCTGGAGTTTTGCAAATATCTTAGCACCATTGAAGTTATCTTTCAGTCGTGTTTGCAGAAATTTTAAAACGGAAAATCTGTAGAAGACTATAGGTATGGCGGATTGTCGAGTAAATTTTTTTCCAGAGCGACTTCTACGACCGAATTAGAAGTTTTTGAGAATACGAAATGGGACACATTGTGGCTAAATAATAGTGGCCACTCGCTCTACGAAAGCCCAGACCCTCTACCACCAACAATTTTGATGATGCGGAGTGCACTTCTACGATAGAATTTCGTCTCTACGCGCCTCAGTTTATATGTCTATGATAAAAGCTTTGTTTGGCTAACGCTTCAGTGCCTTCGCCTTCCAGAAAGCTGAATTGATCTGAGTCGAACACGGAAACCACGGAAAGGGTAATTGAAGGGTTTGAATCTACCCTGGGCTCTAAATTTTGCAATTATTTCACCATTATTGTAGTTATATTTCACATAGTCCTTTGCCATGAAAAAAGAACAGACAATAAAGGCGTTGTGCATTATAATGTTAACTTTTTATTTACTGAATATTATTGTTTCAGGGAAAGGTTTGATATGAAATGCAATCATTATGACGCTGAGATATTTGCAAAACTTGGGTCTAAAACTTGGAATTTGAGCCAGATCGTACTGCGATTACCCTTTCTGAGGGCTCATGTGTTACGCACAGCATCACTGAGGTCCTTATCTCAGCCAGTTTTCTACCTAACGGTGGTGTCAGCATTTACTCTTCTTTGCAAATATCTCAACGCTATAATGGTTGTACATTGTAATCCCTGTCTTCCTCCCAACGGTTTACCGCCTCATCGTGGCTAGAAGGTGTTCTGGGTGTCGGAATGCGATGTACAGCAGGGAGATTCATCCCCCTGGTCTCCCAAGCTGAGGAGTCCAACGTTCCCAACAGGAAGACTAGCTAAGAGTGAATCAATAACAGAATCCACCACCGTCCTGGTATCAAATTAATCGCATAGGGGCAAGTCTCCCTCTTATTAACATGGGTTGCGACTGCTTGTGGTGGTGGAGACCTTGGATAGACTTTGCCCAGGCTGTCCTCAGGATTTCAAGGTGCCACAATGGCTTAACCAGCAAATCTCAGATAAAATGGAGATTTTGCTAGGGCCCGCACAACCATTGAGTACAGGCCATTCAAACATCAAGTATCAAGTAATCCCTATCTTAATCTATTTCTGCAATAGACAGAGAAAACGGCAATGAAAAAACATCACCCGAAAGTCGTTTTCTAAAATATCGGTGTTTGAAAATTCCGTCATCTGCGACAAACAAAATAGTCAGTCCAATAAAGGATATATGGCAGAAACGGTCTGTTTGACAAGCTGAATGGTTGGGAATTAACTGCTTTGAAATCCGCGCATGAAGTCCCAACGGCACAAACGAAGTGCGGAGAACCACTGATAATTGCTGCTAATATTCAAAAGCCCATAGTTTTCTATCAGAAATTCTTTTTGTTTGTTGAATTTATGTTCAGAGTAAGACACCTCTTTATTATTGACTGAAGAGTCTCTCATTCTAGAGAAAATGCATCGAGTTCGCTTTGAAGGCTAAACCCCATCGCCGTTATATACCAAGAAATCGCTTTCAATATCGTGTATGGTGAGTAACATTTGAGATTGCAACTAGTAAATTAAACTTCTGTTGTTTTATTAAACCACTTGTTTCACTCTAAAGGGGAGTTGACCACATTAGCCCACAACTAGCTTTTTTGCTCAAAACACTCCAAAATCGTTCGCCTTTAGTTTCACGCCACAACATGCTGTTTTTTGTTGTTAAAAGTGGAATTGTATTGTTTCAGGTGGTTTGTCACATCACGGGCGTTTGAGTATGTGATTTTTCTGATCATCGTGCTCAATACGGTGTCGTTGGCCTGTAAGCACTATCCCTCAGGACATAAATTTGAGTACGTGCTCGACGTACTCAATCTGGTTTTCACAGGAGTTTTCGCTTTCGAGGCGTTTTTTAAAATCATTGGTACGCGTTCATTTTTCCTCCCATCTCTCATTGCACTTTATAACCTATCAAGGTTTCATTTTAATATTTATCTTCCTGTAAATCATCTGAGGAATCGAGCAAAAACGGTAGTGTTCATTTTTTCTTACTGGATGCTTGAACTGTTTCGTGATTTGTTTCTCTGGATCAAAGAACGCGAAATGTATGACAATCTATGCTTGGGACCACGGAACATCATGTTGTCATGTGCGTATTTTTCTTCTCTGACATCTCCTGAAATTTATTCGGTTCCTTTCTTATTGCATGACCTAACATCGCATGTGTCACACAGCAAAGCATTTTTGGCATTCGATTCCTTTATTCACACCAGTAATCCGGGAATTTCTTCAAACATTTTTTTGCATCTGGCTTCGGCTGCTTCTTGAGGATTTTTCCGTCTTCCTCACGAATTTCGTTGAATTCTGGTCGAATCGATTCTGTATGGTATCCTGAAGTGGCCGGCCGTACTGGGCCGTTTCCGCACGGATCAGAGGGAGTCAGTTTGTCCTAGACTACTCTAGTACCAATTTCCGGGTCCCGGAGTGATGAGATACTTGGTGAGCCTGGAGAGGGCTTGAAGCGACCGCTTGAGTAGGTTGGGCCGTCGGTGTAGGATTCTTTATTTAGTTATGAAAATTATTTGGATCTTCACAATTTCTGTGTCCTGTTTTGCTTTAAAAAAAGAAGAAAATGGGCCTCCATGGTTATTCAGAATGTGAGAGGTTGTAGTAAGTTTCATAAGCAATGCTCGTAAGACTACGAAACGAAGATGGGGAAGATTGATCGACATGTTGGATCACTTTGAAAAACACATCTTGTGATTCTTTTTACAAGTTCATTAACAAAATATAAGCAGGATTAGGTCAACGATAGAAAATTCGTCTACTGCATAGCATTTATAACTCCGCGCACAAATCCATTACCGTGCGGTCGCGTCCTTCGAAGCATGAAAACAACTTCTGGGGATCTGAACCGAGTTTTCATAACAGCGTTGAAATTGATTTGGATCATATACTTGCATTTATGGTAAAGGTTGAGTGTAGATTAATTGAACCTTTTTGTTTAAAATATATCGCCGCACTTGAAAATCAGAAGGTAATGGGTTCGAACGTCTTCCAACAAGACAATGACAGAAGTTCGTTTCAGCACTGAATCCGAAAAACTACTTCGGTGATCGCTGGAATGCGTTCGATTTCATCATCGTGCTTGGATCGTTCATCGACATCATCTACGGTAAACTCAATCCTGGTGGTAAGTAGTATGTATTTTCCTGAGTTCATCTTTGACGTCTACATATAATGCTGAATAATTCCATGCTTCCAGTCGATATGATTATATTTCAATCACAATTTTCACCACTTTTGCGCTTACACTTACTTCATCACTCATCTGTAGTGAAAGCAAGTGCTCCTGTCAACTTAGCAAACACTTCTCGAACTTTGTCCATAGGAAAAAAACCAGTATAGAAAATCAATAAACCAAAAAACCGGTAAAATAAATATATCAACTATTTATGCAGGAGTTTATAGAAAATCTGCCTTTTGAATTGAAAATTAACCACTTGTCTATGCAAGACTTCGTCATTAAAGAACCTCTCTTCTATAATCCTAAAAATTCCACAAGTTTATCATAGATCAAATACTCAGATGCTGAAGTACTTGTGGAAATATTACCTCAAGCATTTTGCTCCCGCTGTTTCGGATTTCTCAATGAAATGTTTTTCACTGGAATATTCCATTCTTTGTTAGTTTTAATAACCCGACTTCACAAATCACGAAAAATCGTGAGGAATTTGAACAAGTTTTTTAAAATGGTAATTTGCTGGTTACGCGAGGCTGCCTGCTTCTCTAAGGGTTCTCGAATAACGTGCCAGATATTTTCCAAGTCCACTCCTCTTCCCAGATATTGAGCATATCATTCCCATGGTGACAGTGATTCCTAGCTGTCGTTTACTTTTAGGTGGATTTCTGAATGTACGATTCGAACTCTTCCCAACCTTGGGAATTTTAGCGAGGGGTGAAACGCCCTTGTACATCACAGTTCCACATCCAGGAACACTCACATCCTGATGAGGCGGTGAACCGTAGAGAAACGAGGGGAATGAAATAATCGACAAATAAGAAGTAGAGATGAGATATTTTCTAACAAAATACGACTTCCATAACTGACTCATGTCCAGGAAGGGGCTGTCTTCACATGAAAATAAGGTAGCTATATTCTTAAAAATCAGTATGGTCATGATACTACACATGATACTTACTCACACTTTGGGATAACTTCAACACTTTTCAAAAGGTAATTGCGAAAACTCCTCTTTTAGAGTTCAATGCTTGATTTTAAAAGTCGACAACAGTACAGGTACAGGGCTCGTTTTAAGGCTCGAATCTAATCTCGATCAATTTCTTTCGTCTCTTTCGTGTGATGCGTCTCGTGAAGCTGTTGTCACGAGGCGAGGGAATACGGACGTTATTGTGGACGTTTATGAAATCGTTCCAAGTGCGCTCTCTCTTACATTGCTCAGCATTTATTACTATTTTTGAACCTCATTCATTTCGATGGACATTGATTGTTTCTAAACCTATAGCCACACATTCTTGCAGGCCCTGCCATATGTGGCGTTGCTCATTGTACTTTTGTTTTTCATCTATGCTGTCATCGGAATGCAGGTTAGCGTCCATACTAATAACGCCTAAGTTTAGTGAGTGTTATATGTTACTTTACAATAGAACATGCATTGATTCACGCCTATATAATAAGCTTTAACTTATTTGATCCGTCGATGAGTGTCGAGTAATTCGAGCAAACGTCAGTAAAGTCGTCTCCACGTGCAAAATTGGCGCAATTCCAGCGGGTCTCTGCCTTCGAGAGATTCGGCAAATATATTTTTCTGTTATGACGTTTAGCTGACGAAGTAGGTGATCTGTCTTCCTGTTGTGCGCTTAGAACTTCAAATTTGCACTCTCACTTGCCTGTCACAGGATACTCGAAATATCTGGATAGTCTTTTATCCAAAATACGTAACGTTCCGAGGCGCAGTTATGACAAGAAAACTGGTACAGTAGAAATGGTAGACACGGAGGTGATTGTTTCTTTCTCCTCTTTACTCTATTTTCGATGCTGTTATGAGCTCCTTGAGCCGCTCGTTTCCAAATGATCCGCTATTGAGCTAAATGTCTTCGAACTCTCAAACCAGACACAGATAGCATTCGGAAGTAATCGTTTCATTGATTGTGAATTGGAAGCGGGCATTAAAAATATGTCCGCTTCCTAGGGATGTTATTTTCTCGAGATCTTAAAGAACACGTAATATCAATCACAAGTGTTGACGAAATCAACCAACACTGGTTTCATTCACTCATTCGCCTTGACTGATTGATAATATTAGCAGAATAATGCCGGTAACAAAGCTTAGATGATGCAGCTCCGTGCCATCGACCCCGCGTTGTACAATTTAACTTTTCGCACAACGGTCTCCAAGCTGGCTGCAAATAATTTGGGCGACGTAGTACCATCTTTTCAAACCGCTCTCCTTACAGAAGTGGTTATCTCGTTTTGTAACGGTGAAATGTTTGTAAAGTTGCTGTATAGCTTCTTGAAGGATTTTTGTGTAAATAAAAGTGCTCTAATTGTTCGAAAATTCTACAACGGCTCCTTTCTCAATTGAGTGTAAGGACTTTTTCTAAGTCAGTGAAATTGAGGCGACGCAGTTTCTTGTACTCTGATAATGCCATAGTGAATTTTTCCTTTAAATGTGATGCGTCATTCAGAAGTCTCTTGGAGATTGTGTTCCGTGCATTGCTTCTTCTAACATTCTGTTATGCTGTTGGGAATTATCCAAGTGATAGCTTATTAACGACGTGGAGTAGGAAGTTGATTGGAGAATATTCATTGATGTAATGTAGTGGGCTTCTTTTTAAGGCAGAAACACGGTCCTAATGGTTTTGTCCGCATCGAATGCAAGGTGCAGTCCACATTAATACGAGCATGCCCACACCCACGCATGCCTGTAAATTTGTGAACAGAAGCTGTGTATTAATATGGCTCAACTGAGACAGTAAGTCGATCCGCTGAATCTACCTGTGCTTTAGAACTAGCACAAAGTCGGTTTTGATCTTCGTTTAACTCCCGCCCGTAAAGTGGAGTGGTTTCTCGTGCCATCGCCGCTAACTAGCCGATAATCCCTCAGTGTGAAGGATCTAAGGTAGCTGAATTCGCAATGCCACATGCACTTGGATGTACATCCTATTCAAATGCCACATGCACATAGATTTACATCGTATTCAAGAACACTTTTTCATAGAAGAGCCCAGCACTTTCGTTACAGGTTTTCGGAAAAGTTGCATTGGATGATGCTACGCATATTCATCGCAATAACAACTTCCACTCTTTCTTCGCTGCTGTTCTAGTGCTTTTCAGGTTTGTTCTGTGAAAACATATTTACGGCATATTTAAACTGATTGACTCCAAGTGTTAGAAAAGTCAAAAAAGAAGTTGCCTGTTTGAATGATTAAACTAGCCGCAGTTAAAAATCCGAAAAGGAGCGGAAAATTTCAAACATCTGGCCTGTGGATTTTTTGAGACTGCCTCCTAGCTGTCACCATTTAGTGCGGTACTCTAAGCAGTAACAAAGAAGAGGTCGAGAACGTGCCCTGTTAACGAGTCAGATTGGTAGGTACTCGAATTCGCGTTATGCAAAAAGATATCTCTCAGGTCTCCTACAGAGCGGTTGCTGTATCATCTTGTGTAAACACGTTGTATCTCCGGTTTTGTAATTTTTCTAGCCTACTCATTATTTTTAACACTTTCCAAAGTTTTTGCAACAGCAGAAAGATACTTTAACACTATTAAGTGAATTTGCACAAGAAGACCAACTGTTGGGCTTTCCCGCAATAGCTGTGGCATGACCGCTTTCTTCAGCCAACCTTGATAAAATTCAAGAACTTTGCGGCAACCTAAGACGGGAACACTTTTATAGGTTTGCTAAGTCGAAATACAAAAGGTATTCAGAAAGTGGATTATTTTTACTTTCAAACAATTGAAATTGCTCCTTGTAAAGTAATAATGATTCCAGATCCTAAGACCGACTTTCTGTTAACCTCGGCATTAATTGATAATTCAATGTTTTTCTTCAATAAGCAGACACGAGGTTGTTAGCTATTATGTTCATTAGCTACACGAGCTATTATAGGACTTATTAGAATACAATTGCTGACGTTTCGGCGGTTTCGTCTCCTTCAGAGCCTGCAAAGGTCAAATTGAGATGCGATCTATTCAGCCAAACACTTTCATAACCCCAGCAGATAAAACTTAACAAATGAATTTGCATTCGCATAAGAAACAGCTTCATTCAAACACCTACCGTTTATTTGTTGTAAGTATTTAAGTTAGTTGGTGGATAGCCGCCGCACAGAGTAATACATGGGCGATAACTGTGCCTGTGTCAGGTCATTGGATCAGCCTGAGGTATGGCGCAAGGTCACGCGTGATGACAAGACACTCCTCCTTGTGGTTCATTTTTGAATGTTTGGAATTGATCCAAAATGCTTCAAGAGTTTTACGCGCTGATGTTTTCGATTCATGCGGGAGGATAGTGACTCCTGCTTCATCTCTTGTAAAACGTGCGGGACGAATACGTTGGCGAAACGGGTAGACCGCTCTGTGTCCGCATAAAAGAACACCTAATCGGTAAATCTAAATTAAAACAAAATACTCCACTAGACGCACATAGGATGCAGGAACACAACGGAGAAGATTTTGAAGTGGGAGTCACTATCCTCACGCAGGAATCGAAAACATCAGCGCGTGAAACTCTTGAAGCGCTTTGGATCAATTCCAAAAAATCGAAAATGAACCGCAACGAGGAGTGTCTTGTCATCACGCGTGACCTGGCGCCATACCTTAGGCTAATCCAATGACATGACACAGACACAGTTATCGCCCATGTATTACTCTGTGCGGCTGCTATCCATCAACTGACTTAAATACTTACAACAAATAAACGGTAGGTGTTTGAATGAAGCTGTTTCTTATGCGAATACAAATTTATTTGTTGAGTTTTATCTGCTGGGGTTATGAAAGTGTTTGGCTGGGTAGATCGCATCTCAATTTGACCTTTCCAAGCTCTGAAGAAGGCGAAACCGCCGAAACGTCAGCTATTGTATTCTAATAAATTCTATATTAACAACCTCGTGTCTGCTTATTGAAGAAAAACACCGACCTCAAAACACTTCTATAGTTTTGAAAACTGATCTTTTATTCCTCTATCACAATTTCTGTCCTAATGTTTTGAAACTTCCGATTTCCTTATTAACTTTTGTCTTACTGCAGCTAGCATTGTGTGTAAATGCACGGTTCTATTTCTGTTGTATCAGATTGTCCGCAGTTGCTTTTTCAGATCCGCAACAGGTGAGGCGTGGCAAGAGGTGATGTTGTCGTGTTCCGATCGTGAGGATGTTCGTTGTGATCCGCTGTCTGACGATTACAAACGTGACCGCGAGGCTCGATGTGGTGTCAACTTTGCCTATCCATACTTCATCTCTTTTTTCATGCTGTGTTCTTTTTTGGTAGGTCTAAGTTGTGTCTTAATTTTACAGCCCCCTTTTACTTAAAAAAAAGTCTGAATTGAAAGAGGCGGTCAATTGATTTCTGATGGAACATTTGCTGATGCTGTTTAGTAATCTTGCAAAATGGCTTGTAGCTTTTTCTTCGGATTGAAGTCGATTATCAGCTTTCTCCTCAGACTTATATGCAGCCATTGCATTTTTTCTACCCCAGGCGAATCCTATCCACCTTCGTCAAAACTGTTTTCAAAAATGGTTCTTTTCTAGTAGTTGACTGCCAGAACGCCTATATCGGGAGATTTCAAGATGTGATTTGGTGATGTTCTCCATAGTAATAATAATGGGCCATCGAATGATTGGTGTACATCGGGTGTTCTTGTACTTCATCTTTTGAAGGAAGTGACCATTTGAGAAGTAATGTAATCGCTTGCTTCCTGGTGACCCTGAAAATCGGTTTCAAACTGTATTATACCGGCTTATGAATTGTTTTCTGAGCAAAAAACAATCTTCATGGTCTATCGTTGGCAATTTTTTCCATCCGAATGAGATTTTTCGTAAGTCGAGATTTAGTGCCCTGTCACCGCTTTTCTAAGCGTTCGAAACAGTAGAGAGATTCGTCCAGTATGTTCAGCGCCATGATTAGACAATTACTGAATAGACGACGATTTTCTCTGGACTCCTAAGAGCGGTATACCGAAAATTTTCCTGGTCGTCACGACGTGTCCACTGAATCTTCGAATTTAATGAATGCATGCCTTATATTTCTTCTAAGACGTATTTTGGAATGTGTGCCTTATAACATGGTTTCCGGACCAAAATGGCCAGTTCCTTCCCAGCTTTAGTAATCTTGCCGAGAGTTGAGCTTCTTGTTATGCATCATAGGTTTACAATTAAGGATATATTGTTTCCTAACTTTTCCAAGAGTAAGCGGTAAACCATTCTAGCATTAGAAGTAACTACAGGAACAAGGTAATTTTATTTTAAGGTAATAAATTTGTTTGTGGCTGTCATTATGGATAATTTCGACTATTTGACTCGTGACTGGTCGATACTCGGGCCACATCATCTGGAAGAGTTCGTACGTTTGTGGTCTGAATATGATCCAGATGCAAAAGGTATTCTCGATTGAAATCGTATCAGGCGGGTTTTCAAATTTTCCTTAACATTCCAGTGTTTCAGGAAGAATTAAGCATCTCGATGTTGTGACACTTCTTCGAAAGATATCACCTCCACTTGGATTCGGGAAATTATGTCCACATAGGCTGGCTTGTAAGGTAAGAATTAGGAGAATATTACCATATTTGGAACATGTGGATGACTCCACTTTATTCAAACTTTTTTAAAGTCTTGAAACTTCGATTTTCAATATAAAAGAGATCGTTATCGGTAATTACACCTGACCTCTGCTATCAGTCCACTACGTAGGCTTTTCGAAATTTGCCGCCTTTAAATCATTTGTCGATTTATCCACAAACCTGCTATCAGTGGGAATTATACGAGGAGCGGTTCGGTATCACTTTCAGAAAGCAGCTCCGCATTATTTTCGTAATATGAGGGAGAGGAGCTACTCAAAAGTATGTCCAGTCGCCCGCTGCATGTTCCAGCCACTTCGTTAACACTTCGCTAAAAACGAAGCGAATGAACGGTCTCAGAGGCGAAATATGATGCTCTTCGTATTGCTCATGAAAACAGAGTTGGTTCACTAGGAAGATTTGGCTCTCCGGAGGGACTTGGGCACTTTGATGATGTACTCTCGACTCCTTAAATAATAGGTACACGTGTCATAGGTAAGAATTATCGAAAGTGTTTAATACTGGGAAAGTTGTATGCGAAGCAGGGTTTATACTGGTACATTAAATTTTTGGAAGATTCCATTTCAGTGATAAAGTTCAGGAAGTTTTCTTTAGCGACTCGTTTCCATGAACATGCCGCTGAACTCCGATGGTACTGTGTGTTTCAACGCGACTTTGTTTGCCCTTGTTCGTACCAACCTCAAAATTTATACTGGTATATTTCTGTTTTCTTTGTCATTATCCTCATCCTAACAATCCATTAACATTGTCGTTTTCCTCTATTGTATGATACATTTTGCACTTGTAGTAGAGACTGGTAACGGTCGAAGATTTTCAACTTCTTTTTTAAGCTTCACTTGTTTTTTAAATGCATTTACTCACAGACGAATATATTATTCATTGCGACATTCCTGTATCAAATATTCTATATCTATATTAATATTCCTATTTTTATTAGTCAATATGATTACGCAAACATCATCGTATCTTATGATATGCTTACTTGGATACTTGGACGGCCCGTCCTCACTGGTTGTGCGGGCACCTGCAAAATCTCTATTTTTTTGGAGTTTTTCTGGTTTAGCCATTGTGCCATTGTGATTACCTGTAGTCCCAAGGTTAGCCAGGCCAAAGTCTGCCCCAGGTTGTCACCAAATCATGCATTGGCCGCCCTTGTGGATCAGAGGGAGATTTGCCACCATGCGACTAATTTGATACTAGGACAGTGGTGGATCTCGGTACTGGTTTACTCTTAGCTGCGCTTCCTGATGGAAACGCCGGGTTCTTTTGTAGCTTGGGGGAACCTGGTGCAGGGAGGAATTGACTGCAAGAACGGTTCCTAATCGAATAGGAGAATGAGTAGTGACGCTGCTTCTGTTTCTTCTTTTGTGGGCATAGTTTTGCTAGAGAGAACTAGAGATTTTGTCGAGAAGAAGAATAGCAAAGCATTACAGGCAAGGACTGTGTTAAGGGAAATTGTGAATATGAATGAGAAATGATCGAAAATATTTGCTGTGTCGTAGAGAATGTTCGCGCTATACAACCCTGTATAATTCTTCAACAGAATTAGGTTCGGGCTTGTTGAGCGAAATGACAGTGGCATATCCAGAATCGAATTATTCTTAGACATCTTTGCAGGGATCACTGATGTGTAAAGGTTCAGAATTGAATCCGCTGGTTTTTCCCACCTTGAGATTCCTGCGGTAAAAACTGAAGAAGAGCGAGAGATTTACTGAATTTGACTAAATACACGGCTAATTCTTCCAATCCGGTCAGAAATTTATTACAACTGCTTGTGGTACACCATGGAATTCATGAAGTGGAGACATCAATCCTATGTCAAAAGCAAAAAGACCACTTTGAGCGGTTTACGTAAATCTTCTTTTTTTACGCTGCTGTTGAATTCTAAAAATAACAAACAATAGACAACAACGCTATTTAAACAAGAAACTGAGTTTTTCGTGAAGCCTATACTTTGCGGCCGCCTTGCAGTTCCAAATTCGTGTGTATTTGTTGACTTCCAAGGAACCCAGCAGGTTCTCTAATATACTCGCGAAAAGGAAATGCTGAGCAGATCGAATATCTATTTTGATTCTACCTTGAATTTTTTTTCCAAGATTGGCTTGCTTCATAGATATGTAATGCGATATTCCCTGCTATATGAATTGATTTGAATTTATATGTGCCTGTAATTGGTACACCTCTCATTCTCTCATATCAAAAATGTCTAGCGATCCCAAAAATTCCGTACAGGGAGGGATGAAAATGTACATTTAGAAGGCAATATCGACGATGCAAATGAACAATTACGGTCGGCGATCAAGCGTATCTGGAAGAGAACTCCGGTGAAGATGCTGGACGAAGTGGTACCACCAGCTGGAAGTGTGTGCACCAGCATATCCATCAAGCTTATCTGTTCCCCTTAACATTTTTCGTCATCTTCGGCGCTTTTTTTATTATAGAAGAGGACGATGTGACTGTTGGCAAATTTTACGCAACATTCCTCATCCAGGACTATTTTCGTCGTTTCAAGAAACGTAAAGAACTCGAAGCTAAAGGCATCATGCCAACTCATGCTCAACAAGCGATGGCATTGCAGGTATCTTTTCTAACGAATCGATATAACCCGAAATTATAAAACATGCGGATTGTGTAGAATCGGTCAACGTAACTCTTACCTCTGCGAGTGCTTTGAACCGCGGTCCAAGAGAAATATTAGTAGAACTGTATCGTTTTCTTGTTCTGCAATTGCGAGGTTTTTAAACAGCATACATTTACTTCCATAGAAAAACACAATACAATGCAACACTAGCCGACGTTTCGGCAGTATCGCCTTCTTCAGAGCCGCTTTTTCGTGACTGTTCTAAACTTCCTCATTGGAAGTCACGAAAAAGCGGTGGGTTTTTTCAAGAAGTTGTTGATTATGTAATTACCGGAGAGTTCTTCGTCTTTTCGTAAGTGTTATTGAAGCGTTTGGCCTAGTAGATTGTATATCAGCATACTCTTCCAGGCTCTGAAGAAGGCGATACTGCCGAAACGTCAGCTAGCGTTGTATTGTATTGTGTTTTTCTATGGAAGTAAATGTATGTTGTTTAAAAACCTCGCGATTGCTGAACAAGAAAACGACACATTCATATTCCAATGCCGAGGTTAATAGAAAGTCGATCCTGGGAACTATTAGTAGAACTGTTTGAAAGCAGTCGTATTTAGGCTGGTCTTCGTACCTTGCACGAGATAGGACCAGAGCTCAAACGAGCTATTTCTGGTAATCTTGAGACTGATTTCAACTTCGAGGATCCAGAACCACAACATCGGGTACGCCAAATGTTATGCTTACAACAGTTGATTTCTTCAACATTTCTGTCTATAAACAGTTTGTCGTTCCAGCGTACTCACTCACTTTTCAATAACATTGTGAATCGAATCTCTGGAACTCGTTCACCTCCTGATCAAGGAAATAGAGGTGAGAGAGCTAAACGCAGACTGGTCAAAATCATCTGAAACGTTAGTTGAAATTCCTCATTGTACGAGGTTTTTTGAGACTGAAATTTGATCAGAATCATCTCATTGAACCTGTTTGCTTCATAAGGCTGCTAAAAGCTGCAGAAATTTACGAAAATTCGGATTGTTGTGGGTCTTCCACTGATTTTGAAGGGTTATCTAACCGTGTTTTATACGTTTAGTGGAAACTCTTAGTGGATCTCTTACTTCTTAGTGACATAGGGCAACACAGCAATAGTGCATAAGTGCAGATTCTTCTTGAAGCTTTTTCCTATGCCCAACACCTTGGAGTAAACTGCCTTGTCGTCGAGTTTCATCAGTATTTTGTCAAGTATTCTTAGGCTCTTTCCTGCTTATTTCCTCTGAATGACTTTGTTTTGCAGAGTTACATATCATTGCTCCTAATGCACTAAGTACCGTTGAAAACAGCCCTATGCTTACGCGTATCAGCCCACCTCTCACGCCTATGAGTGAGCAGATACCACACCAGTCAGCCAATGGTGGTACCCGAAGGTTTGATTTTTCAGATATTCAGACGATTCCTCAATAATTCATTATTATTTTGCAATAAAACGTACAAATTTCGGATAACTTCAAAAAAGTAGCCAATTCTAAAAGGCCAGGACAGCCTTCTTCATTGAGTGTCCCTAATTTCTACGTCTTCATTCCAAGAAGTTCACTCGTATTTCTACTTCTGTATATATGTTTGAACATATCGTTTTAAAACAATAAACAATCTCAACCGAATATGGTAACACTACTTTCTTCATTTGTTTTTCTCATTTTTCAGACTTCCGACAATCCCAGTGTACACGAATCACATACAGGATGAAACCGCTAATACAACAATTGATGGAAGGCCACTTGGACTAGACGGCAATAACCGTTTGCTGATGGCCAACCGAAGGTATGGCTGTGATCTTGGGTAGTTTCTAGTTCTGGATATACGTTTGAGTCCAAAAGTAAATAAATAAAATTTAGCATATGTAATATTTGTACAGACCAACTTTATACATCAAAGCATTTCATATTTACTAATTCAAAAACTGCTTGTTCTTCACCTAGCCAATCTTATCGCTCTTGCTTCCATTGACTGATATCCATTTCAATATAACTTATGGGAGAACTAACTACACTGATTAGCTTATGTACATTAACTTCTTTGAATCCAACTATTGGCTTGTGTTTTAGTTATTAATGTTTATTATTAATATATATGTTATATATTAATATGTTATTCCTCCCAAAGGTTTACTACCTCATCGTGGCGGGTAGTGGTTATTGGGTGTTATACTGCGGTGTACAGCGGGGGATTCATCCTCTGGCAAGGTTTCCCAAGCTGAGAAGGAGTCCCGGGGTTTCCATCAGGAAGCCTAACTAAAAGTAAACCAATACCAAGATCCACCATCGTTCTGCTGTCAAAGTCGAATGGTGGTAAATCTCCCTCTGATCCACAAGGGCTGCGACTGCCAGTGGTGGTGAAGACCTGGGGCAGACTTTGACCAGACTGACCTCGGGACTCCAGAGAACCATAATGGCTTAACCAGCAAATCTCCGAAAAATGGAGATTACGCTGGGTCCCGCACAACCAGTGGAGACGGGCCATTCAAGTATCAAGTAAGTATAATGTGTTATTATACTATATGTACTAATATTAACTCAAGTAATAAAGTTTCTTGCAGAATGAGATGTCTGAGTTGAAATGCACAATTGCTTTCATGCATTTAAGTGAGTACACTATCGCAAATGTGCTAATCCGAAGAATTATTTCTGTTAAACTGATAGTCCGAATGTTAAGTGCATCTATCATATATGAAAATTTAGTAATCCGATGGATCCTAACGATGAAGAACAATGGTCCGGTAATCGCCATCGTTATCGGGATCGTCGTACTCTACCACCACTTCGCGAACCGCTAATCATGGCTCGGAGTCAGGCATTGGTTCTTGCCGGTTAGTCGTTTACAATTCTTTTCGAAATACTCTCAATGTTCAACTTGTTTCCTCAAGGTATGCCTCCGGAAGCTTATGAAGGGACATATCGTCCTGTTCCTGAAGGTAAATCGCTTAATTTACCATATTCGTCGAGGGTACTGCTCACACCTGATGATTCTCGACCTGCAGATCGACTTGTTGGACAAGCGCTTGGACTTGGCAGGTGATAATTACAGTTTATTGTGTAGTCAAGTTTTTCCGTCCAATAACATTGTGATTTCGAGTTAGTCATATAATGTTAGACTAATGTTAATTTATCGGTTTTGCACTATCGCATGGCGTGTTTTTCTAACATATTTAGGTGATCGCGCCAACTCTTACGATGTGCATTGTCGTTATTTATTGTCTTACACGAAATAAGCGATGCAGATGATCTTCGACTGCTCAGATATATGGACCGCCGTGTTGTCGGCGCTGCACGTCGTGAAATCGGAGAGGCGTTCGCGCTCAACGACCGCGAGATGGACATCGCAGCAGGCACGTTAGCGCCACAGTTCATGCAACACGTCGGTATGAACGAGATCCGCGACTACAACGAGTACTCCCGATCAGGACTGCTCCGACCGGCCACGCAGCCATCGCAGGAGAGCGCTGGATCACAAGAGGACATGCTTCTGGTGACTACGCTCTAAACACACTACTTGTTTAGTCACATTTTTAAAGATCCATTCTTGATTCTGTGAGATCTGCGTAAATTAATGGCGATCTAGTATCACACTCAACTAGATGTCGTCATATACACATACTACCTGACATCACTTCCTACACAAGTAGCTATCAGAACGAATGGGAAATCAATTCAGTGTGTATATGCGTGTGCACATGCGCCGTCGTTTTCTTTCCTAGTCCGGTTTTATATCATGGGACAATTTTGAATACAGGTCTATGATCACCCACTATAGGTAACAATATTCCATCCCACTTCATAACTCTGCTCACCTTCTCATTTCTTTCTTAATTCATGGTACCCTTCTTGTTGTTTATCCGTAAATGCGTTGTAATTTTTAAGAAATTATCATATTCGTTATTCCATTTTATATGAGTAATGGTGATTTCCGACTCAAGTGGCCTTGAAGAGATTTACTTGGATGCATCCAAGTTCTATGGCTTTATTGTATGAATAGATTTTTTCCATTAAATCTGACCACAAATTATTGTTGTTTGGTTTAGTTATATTTTGGTAACTCGTATAAAAAAAGTAATGGAATCCAATGTTTTTCTTCAAGAAGCAGACACGAGGTTGTTAGTATAGAATTTATTAGGATACAATAGCTGACGTTTCGGCGGTTTCGCCTTCTTCAGAGCCTGGAAAGGTCAAATTGAGATGCGTTCTACCCAGCTAAACGCCTTCATAACCCCAGCAGATAAAATTTAACAAATAAATTTGTATTCGCATAAGAAACAGCTTCATTTAAACATCTACCGTTTACTTGTTGTACGTATTTAAGTTAGTTGATGGATAGCAACTTTCGTATTCAACTGAAAACTTATCCAACTCAGATTTTACACACCGGTCCAAAAAATGCATCGTCTGCACTTCGTAATTTGCGTCAAATAAAACCTTCATTAATACTACCACCATCATATTCGCGATATTCCTGGTAATAACGGCGATATCAACTTTTTCCTGAGCTTAACGTTACCTGGAAAAATAAACACCAACTCGAAACAAAGTGATGTGAGCTGTAAAATAACAAACGACAATGCATGTAGCCCCGCACAAATTCGTTAAGCATCACCATCGCCAAGAGTGTTCGAATGAACGGTAATCAAGACATGAATTAAATCAGTTCTTTGTCAACGGTTATTCTAAACTAAAACTTCAGCAGTTTTACCTGTAACTTCTAGTAACTCCAACCAGGAACAGAAATCTCTTCCTTTCAATCAGTTATCAGAATTACCAACTGGACTTCATTCACGAAGGCTATATGGAGGGCTCTGCAATTCTGATCTGGACCGTTATTTTCAACGTTTTCGTCGAAAAGCTCCAAAAGTTCATCTTTGATGTAAGCTTAATTGAACATACTATCCCGATGGAAATTTCGAACTACTTTTCAGCTTAGAGGATCCTCCAAGAGAATGGTCTCTGTTGTGTATCGCAATTCAGCAACCAGGAACACCATCCTATCTATGATGAGGTAGTAAACAATAGAACAAGAATGGAATGATTGAAATTTGTAACAAGATCATAAATGTGTGCTTCCGACTTCTACCCGTTGACATCGTTGCTACCGTCGTCGAAAGGAATGTGTTGAAACCAAAACGTAGAGCATAGCAATCCACCAATATTTGAGACCCCAATTTATAGAAAGAAAAAAGCACGAAATCACAAAAAAAAATGCAGCCAGATCACATTTTCTTCAATAGCAGCTCTTAACAGTGTGTTTTAACGTATACGATTATGTATTAAAAACGGCGAGAGCGATTCAGTGGTTAGAGGCCCCTTGCAATACATATGGCATCGAGCCCGCGCCCAATGCACGACAAACCTTCCATAGCTGCGGGGTCGACATGTTGGTACCAGACTTGTCCGAGAGGGTAGCATCACTGATTGGGCACATTGGTAGGCCACTTCGAGTCAATGTATAAGCCCAGAAATGCATTCACTCACTTCTAACGATACTTAGAGAAGTCAAATGTATGGTGCGTATGGTATGGTGCCATTAGAGATTGATCGACATCGAGATCTTCATTTTTTTCCAATTTCAAGGTGAATGCTCTACATATTTGACAATATCGCAACGAGTGACCTATAAATAGGTGTTATACCGCAGTTTTCGGAGTGGCCAGTATGCCGTCCACGGACTTAATTTTGTCTACGGCATTTCTTTTAACACATCCTCCCAACGGTTTGCCACCTCATCGTGGTTGGGAGGTGTTCCTGGATGTCGGGCTGTGATGTGTAGCGGAGGATTCCTCACGCCAACAGGGTCTCCCAAGCTCAGAGGGAGTCAGGCATTTCCATCTGGAAGCCTATCTAAGAGTAAACCAATACCAGGATTCACCACCGTCTTGGTATCAAAGTCACATGGTAGTAAATCTCTCTCTGATCCATAAGGGCGATGCCTGTAATGGTGACGACGTGGAGGAGAATTTGGCTAGGCTGACTCCAGGGAACCACAATAGCTAAAAGAGCGAAATTCCTAAAAGATGGAAGTTACGTTGGGGCCAGCAGAACCAGTGAGGACGGGCCATGCAAGTATCTGAGTAAGTATTTTAACACATAGAACCGTTTCCCCAAACTTTTTGCAACCAATCGATAGTCTATCAGAAACACGCTTTGGTGAACGTCGTCCGTAGGAGGATATGCTCTTAATTATTCCTCACCAATTTCTCGTTTCGTAGGAAAGAGATTATTGCTTTTGAAGAGTGAGTGCGCATAGAGCGTGGTGATTGAAGAGGCGTAGAAATGGTTCGGTCTCGAAGAACTGGCATAGCAGGCAGTGTGCAGCAAATTTTTGATAAGGAATTCGCTGTTTTCAAATTTTTAGTCGCTACGCCGAGCGACGTTCCACTGAAGAAGATCCGCACAGATACGACCACGAAGACGCTACATCGAGAGGACGAACAACTGTAGATCAACGACTCGGACGAATCCAGCTCTGAAGAAGACGAAGACACTGAGGCGTTAGTCGAATAAATGTTCGGTAACAGCCTCGTATTAGCATATCAGTGAATGAAAGCACGTATCACAACAGATTCGGAAATACACCTTATTGTTTCTGGCGTAAAATTCCTCATTCTATCGAAAAATATTTTAGCACCAAAGATTGTATGAGTAATAAAGCACAGCATGCTTCTAATATCTCAGTAATAAACGGTGAAATTAGAGTACTTTACACCGCCATTGCGCATCCCATGGATGAACTGAGCCTAATTTTCACTTGCAACGCTCCCAGTCGTTGAAAACGTCATTCAAATCCATTATCAATGCTGACTGATCTCCCACATTAGAATAGCGGCAAACCAATACATTCGACTTCATTAAGCATCATTAGAGGTGATTTAATGCACATCTAGCATTTACAATGACTCACTGTGGCCTGCCGATGTATCGAGTTAGTGGTGCCATGCCGACCCCGGAGGGATGGAAGGTTTAGTGAGCCTGGGAGCGGAATCGATTCCATGTGTATTGCAGGGTGCCTCTGACCACTGCGCTACACACAACCTTCCGCAGGGTTATTACTGATAAAAAGTATTGCAATTTCTCCTAGGAACTAAATTAGTACGACAACCGTTCTAGATTCAAAAGCTTTTAAGAGGGTCAATCATTTATGATGAACACGGGAACAAACTAGCTCAGCCTTTGCTTGATACTTGATGGAAATGTGTATTAGTGGAAAACCAGTTACATTTGATAAGTAATAAGGAGAATAGATCTCTAGATGCCCAAAATCGACCATGTTATTGAGAAGATCAAGTAGATGTAAGATCTATTGATTATTGATTTGTTCGAGCGGACACCAACGATCTCGTTGCTGTCTTGCCTTTCGTTGGTCCACTACGTCGTGCATAGTCGTTTTGGCTAACAGCGACAACTTTTCATTAGAAAATAGACTAGGTACAGTTCCTCATCGAAAATTATGCCCTTATAGAGTCAATGAAATAAGGCCGCTTGTTTTTATACGGAGTTGTGTAGTCTTTAGAAATTTGATGAGGCCATTTGTTAGTAGGCGACTCTGAACCATCACGCATGCACTTTCCAATCATTTGATTGAAGGCTTGAGCTGTAGCATGCACTATATAAGCTGCTTATGTGCAACTAAAACCCCATCCTCTTACGAAGTGGTGAGTGAGGAACACACATATGCAATACGAAGCACATGTAGTGAAGTGGTTAGAGGTACTCTGCAATACAAACGTGATCGCTCATTCGATCCTGAACCGAGGTGCGGAACCTTCCATTCCTCCGGAGTCGATAAACTGATACCAAAGTTGTCTGGTAGAATAGCAGCACTGACCTGATTTATCAGTGAGCAAATGCAACCTATTGCATAGGCGAGATATGCACTCAGTCACCGATGTTTGATGAAGTCCATTACATGGTGCATAACTCAGGGATTAACGCCAAGAGCTTTAGCCTTAACCTGTCATAGAGTTAAATTAGTCCGCAAAACAGAAATATGGAATCCATCCCATGAATCCCTCCGCGTTTCAGGTAACGTACACGTAATGTCTATAGTCCANAGTGCGATTACGGCCGCCTGGAGATGCGCCATGTGGTTTTGCAGCTAGCTAGGATGTTGAAGTCTCTTCACTTGATGTGACATGTGGATTTCCCGAATATGGCATTATTCGTTCCATTCACATGTTTTCAAACGGTTATTGAATATGATACGGTAGACATCAAACAGTCTAGATTATTCTAGACTAAACGCAATACACTTGCAAAATATTTTAATTTTTTTCATCTACGGCATCATATTACAGCTTATCACACAGAGATGATCTGTGATGTAACTACAATGATGCCGAGATATTTGCAAAACTCTAAGCCGCAGGTGTCTGCGGTGGGAAACGAACGCGCTATTACCCCTTCCGGGGCTAACGCGTACAACACCACATCATGCGCGTCCTTCTTTTCACCTGTCTCTCAACGAGTCTTATCGATCAGTGTCATGAGCAATCACCC